TTATTGTCACTCTCTCTCTCAGTATATCAGCTATGTGAATCCATTTAGCAGCTTATCATATGTCATGCATCACCAATGCAGCCATAGGCCTACAGTATGATGGCATTACTGGCCTTATGGGCATCTGTCATCTGAGGCAGAGAATAGCTAAACTCACACATTGTTTACATGTTGAGCTATATGTTCTCAATTTAAAATGATACCAGTTGACAATGTAGGGTTTTTTTTTTTAAATAAATAAATAAGGAGATGAGAATTAGGCTACAGGAGATGAGCATTACAGGTCAAATGTTATGAGGTTCTTTTTTATTTCAGGTACCACAGGTTTTCCTGTAGGGTTAGAACAATGGGTGGTCTGCCGTGGGCCATGTCATTTAGTGTCGGCTGGGGTCGGCTTGGGGCGTGATTTCATGTCCCCGTAGCTGTGTTGTACCGAATTGACCGACTGAAAGAGAACGTACAGTTATGACTGTACAACCCCTGTTTGGCCCTGCGCTGCCCAGTTCTGGACTCGGTGGGGGGCTTAAACCCTAATATCCGTCGCCCCGTTTGACCTAGAGACTTGAAACTTTGTATGTAGGTGTCTTTCCTCATGCTGAACAATTTTGCCTCAAGGACCTGTACAGTCCATCTAGATGGACTGTACAGGTCCTTGAGGCAAAATTGCCTCAAGGACAATGGAAAGCCTTTGAAAAATGTATTCTCATAAACCATAAGTCCACTCCATAATGCCTTAAAGTAAAGATTCACCTATTTAGAATGTTATTGTTGTTGTGCATCTCTGAGCGATGTTCTATCGATTCCCTGGGTCATTCAATATTTTCATGTGTATCTGAGCTATTGCCGTTCAAGCAGGCAGAAATTCAGCCGGTATGACGTAGCATTGCGATAATGCCGCTTTCACTACACTGGAAATTAATAGGAATATGACTTTTAGATCGCAAAAACGTCTACCATACATGTCAGATTTCAATACTGGCCAATGTCATAATGCAGGAGGTTGTCTTCTGTCGAAGGAGACATTGATCATATAAAATCATATTTTTTGCGATATTCCTACCTCGAGAAATTTGTAATTTAACCGAGGGTCTAACACATTTCTCCTATTTGTCTGCCTCTTCAGTCCAGGGTGCATTGCATGGTGCCGTTGTGAATGTCTCAAACACATTTCTCCTATTTGTCTGCCTCTTCAGTCCAGGGTGCATTGCATGGTGCCGTTGTGAATGTCTCAAACACATTTCTCCTATTTGTCTGCCTCTTCAGTCCAGGGTGCATTGCATGGTGCCGTTGTGAATGTCTCACATCGATCTGCAGGTTGATCATGGTGAGATTTGTTACGCCCGCCCCCCCCCAAAAAAAAAAAAATCGAATTGTCGCTCAAACAGAAGTGGGAACTAACAAAGAGTCACTGACAATAACCAAAACGAAACAGGAGGGGTTCCACTGAAAGTTGACTAGCAAGAACTGGGACCTAAAAGACACCCACCATGAGCGTCCACTAAGAAGCAAACAAAAGGAAAACACACATCAATCTTAAAGACAGGAAGCAAACCAAAAAGGTGGAGCAAAACAAAATCAGGGAAATCTGATAAAGGATTGTTTGTTTACAACTGAAAATAGGGAGAGCCAACTAAAGGTGTTCACCCTTCGCATATATCAAGACAACTGGAGCATTGCATTGTGGCTTTTGTAGTCGACTTGAGCTGCAACAGATTTCCGCAACGATTTTCACTTTTTTTTTTTTATTTTTTGTCATTTAGCAGACGCTCTTATCCAGAGCGATTTACAGGAGCAATTAGGGTTAGAACCTAGTCGGCTCAGGAATTAGAACCAGCGACCTTTCGGTTACTGGCACAACGCTCTTAACCACCATGTTGCTACCAACCTTATTATAATGACAAAATGAAACATTTGTTCACAAAAAATATTATTCTCACATATTAGTGTTACACTGTAAATTATTGGAATGAGTGGTTTTGGGTGTATAAAAATAAATAAGGGATTGGTTAAGATATTGCTGAGTTATTGATAAATCAGGAGATCAGATTTTACCTGTCCATTTAAATCCTTTATAAATCCACTCCAAAAAGGCCAATCAACTTGAAACTTTTTAAACATGTTAAGTTTGGCAAAATATATTTTGTCTGACGCACGTTTTGTGCCAATTAATTGAAGCTGAACATCGCCAAATGAGTCAGTTTAACCCTCATTCTACCAACATATTTTGCATACATGATTACCAACTGGGGTCATTTTGCTATATCTCTGCAGGTGATCTGTCTATCTGGTCAAAATCACTGATACAGGTCCTCCTCCACCCTTTGGTGGTATGGATATCTTGTTATTATGTCTCCAGTGAAACCTAGATTCAAAGAAAGGTCCTATCTATCAAATTACTATAAGAGGAATGAGGTGTTTTTAGCTGGGATCAAAATGACCTCAAAGGACTAACATTATTTTAAAGTCCATATTGATACAGAAACACTGAACAATTATTTTGATGTATTAAGAACAAGTTGATTGACAAAGTCATGAAAAATTTGAATGGACCAACTTTGGGCTATGATAAAAAATATGCCTCTGGGGTCAAAATAACCCCAGTCGGTAGTATGAGGGTTAATTAAATGTGCAATAAAAAAGTATAGTGCCTAGGCCTATTTAATGAAACCCTGGCAGTTGACGTAAGCAACAGATCGCAAAGCTGGGAATCCCCAATTCCCCACTGAGCTCCTTTTTGGAAATGGCAAGTTCACTTTCTAATCCATAAACGCATATCAAGCATGCTGACTGGTTGCATCACCGCCTGGTATGGCAACTGCTCAGCCTCTGACCGCAAGGCACTACAGAGGGTAGTGCGTACGGCCCAGTACATCACTGGGGCCAAGCTTCCTGCCATCCACGACCTCTATACCAGAGGAAGGCCCTACAAATTGTCAAAGACTCTAGCCACCCTAGTCATAGAGTGTTCTCTCTGCTACCGCACGGCAAGCGGTACCGGAGCGCCAAGTCTAGGCCTAAAAGGCTTCTTAACAGCTTCTACCCCCAAGCCATAAGACTCCCGAACAGCTAATCATGGCTACCCAGACTATTTGCATTGTCACCCCCACCTGACCCCACCCCTTATTTTACGCTGCTGCTACTCTGTTTATTATCTATGCATAGTCACTTTAACTCTACCCACATGTACATATTACCTCAATTACCTCGACTAACCGGTGCCCCCGCACATTGACTCTGTACCGGTACCCCATGTATATAGCCTCCCTACTGTTATTTTTTACTTATCTATTTTCTACTTAACACTTATTTTTCTTAAAACTGCAATGTTGGTTAAGGGCTTGTAAGTAAGCATTTCACTGTAAGGTCTACACCTGTTGTATTCGGCGCATGTGGCTTTACATTTTGATTTGATTTGATTTGATCAAGTGCAAGTGTGCTTTCCAGCAGCTCACATCAGCAGGATGGGGAGCCTTTTCATTAGGAGGGACGTCTGCCGTAGATCACTAAATAATGATTATGATCACATATTAGGCCTATGGGGACACCTACACATTTGGCAGCCCAGCATGAGTGATCGTGCAGCATTTTATCGTCTAGACATGATGTTGAAATATCTTCAAGCCTAGAATAAAAACCACCAGGCTTCCATCATAGACTTAATTGAATTTTAAAAAGAATTAGAGGGGGCAGTTTGGAAAAGTAATTTCCATTCAGAAATTAGGCAATCCTAAAGTAGCCTGTCTGGACTCCATATCTTAATAAGAGAGGAGGGACAAATAATATAACTGAAATGAGCATAACAAAATGTAACAAATGTAAGAAAGTCATGATGATCAGCAAGTGCGAGGAATGACAACAGGTGCCAGTTTTAATGGTATGCAACTGAAGCAAACGTAGCGCGATTGAATCTTGTAGGCTAATATTTTCCTTATCATTATTTCTGTCTCTCATTAGTCTTCTCCAGCCACTTTTAACATGATCCTGCATTGACACTACCTTCTCACAAGGGAGTGACCGCAGCAGGTCGTAACGGTATTGTTTATTGTTGTTCTTAAAATTCGATATTTCTATCGAATTTGCACACATGTTTATGTTTAACATTAATGTTGTTTCCAACTACCAATCAGCAACTGCGCCGTAAATCCGGCTGCATATTGAACAATGAGACTGCCGAAAGGCCAGTCTCTTTGGCAAATGACAGGAGTGGCAAGGAGTGGAACATTAGCTAAAAAGACTGTTACCCAGACTACCTAAAAGTTCGATATAAGCTAAGGGATTGATCAAAAGATGGCTGAGTTATTTACTAATCAAAAATATGATTTTACGTGTCCATTTAAACCACTGTAAATCCACTCCACAGTGTCCTATCAACTTGAAGTTTGTTATCGCTATCATGGATGTCCCTAAGATGAACCACACTGAATTTGGTATTGATATTTCAAAAAACAAGGAAACTATTAACAACTCATTCTTTGCTCAAAATCATCTGCAATCATCTTCTCATGAACCATACATCAGATTCACTCCAGATTTTGTATTTAGACTCATTACCTCAGTCTTTAATGGTTTAGATAAAAAATTGTTGCTGAATTCAAATATGGCCGCACTGTACCTATAGATGCATGTTAGCACATATGCTAATGCTTAAAAATCTTCTTCTCATGTGTACCTATAGATGCATGTTAGCACATATGCTAATGCTTAAAAATCTTCTTCTCATGAACCATAGAATGATTAGATGCTGCATTCAAAGATAACCAACCTACAGTACTAGTCTAAACTTCACTTGTGTCATCCATGTGGTATTGAGAGATAAACATAATAATGCTTTCACATGATAGAGTGCTTGCTTTGTTATTCAACTGATCTTGTGTCCTTTCTGTAATCCTGTGAACCCCGTTCATTGGTGCTCGGAGCTATATTTATTATTATAACCTTTTTCTATCTTTCCCCATTTTTATCCCCTCTATCTGTTGGTGTAATTAGTGTGGTGCAGGTGCTTACTGCTTACCATCCAGCAGCCAGCTGCTCTGGTCTATGTTCCTCATCTCTGTCAGGATGAGACGGGAGATGACATCATCAGGTACCAGCTGACCCTGGTCGATGCATGACTTCATCAGAAGACCCAGCTCTGCAAGGAGAGGAGACACAGTGGAAGATAAAGCACAGAGCCGTGATCTTTACTATTTAAACATATACACATTATGCACTTCATCAGAAGACCCAGCTCTGCAGGAGTCCGGAGAGGAGACAGAAAAACACAAGGATCAGAGCTGTCATCTTTACAATTTATTATCTCAGAAGACCCAATTCTGCAAGGATAAAACAGAAAGCTGTCATGGGCAATTCCACACTAACGGAATTGCGACGAGACTCAGATTTTTCACTTAAAATGTATGCCAAACAAAAACCATTGATTTCAAAGTTTAACAAACCATAGTCTAACTCTATGCACAAGGTGTTACGACTTCCTCCGAAGCTGCCTCCCCTCCTTGTTCGGGCTGGCTTCGGCGTTCGTCGTCAACGGCCTTCTAGCCACTGCCGCTCCATATCTCATCATTCCATTTGTCTTGTCTTGTCAATTACACACACCTGGTTCATATTCCCCTCATTAGTACGTGTTTAAGTGTTCCCTCTGCCCCCTTGTCCTTGTGGGTGATTGTTCATTGTGAGGATTAGTAGCTCGGTTGAGCTCAGTATTTTGTATTGCCGGGGTATTTTCCCTGTGTGCATGTTTGTTCCAGTGCGCCTGTTTTGCGCACTGGACTGGTTACGCTGGATTCCGGAATAAACTCTGTATACTGTGATTTACCCTCCTGTTCCTGACTCCTTCAAATCACGTATCACAGAATCACCCACCCACTATGGAGTCAGCGGGAGAGGAGCGCATGCCTGGAGTCGTGGCACGGGTCCAGGAGCATTCAACAATGCTAGCCAGCTTGGGAGAAGCGATGGATCGGGTTCTCCAGGTCGTCCAACGCCTGGAGAGGAGAGGACCCGATCTGTCGAGACCAGCTGGGCAACTGGATCCAGCCACCCACACCCCAGCACCCAGAGGGATCCATATATCCCGACCACGGGAGTTCGACGGGACAGCTGCTCTCTGCCAGGGATTCCTCCTCCAATTGGAGCTCTACTTCTCCAGCATCAGCCCGGCCACATTGGAGCGGGAGAAGGTGTCCGCCCTCGTCTCCTGCCTCTCGGGGAAAGCCCTGGAATGGGCCAACGCGGTCTGGAACAAAGGAGGAGCCTCATTGGACAACTACGGGGAGTTCGCTCGCCTCTTTCGGGCTGTCTTCACCCACCCGAAGGTCGAGAGGCGGGCGAGCGGCTGGTCCACCTGAGGCAGGGGACGAGGACTGCGCAGGACTTCGCCTTGGAGTTGTGGACTCTAGCAACTGGGTCCGGGTGGAACGAGCGGGCCCTTATCGACCACTTCCGGGGCCATCTGCGGGAGGACGTCCGAAGGGAGCTAGCCTGCCGGGACACCATGTTGTCCTTCATGCAACTGGTGGACATGGGCATCCGTTTGGACAACCTGCTGGCGGCCAGAGGACGTCCTGGAGGGGATCTGCCCGTTCCAACCCCGGCCGACTCGGATCACGAGCTGATGGAGCTGGGTGGAGCCGTGATCCGAGAGAGCGGAGGACGACAGCGCCAGTGTCACTCTGGTGGCACGAAGGGACATTACACCGCACGATGTCATCAGCGTTCTTTTGGGTCTAGAGGTGGCAGGCAGGGCACTCTCACATCACCCCAGGTATCGATCACCCACACTTGTTCAGAGCCCTCTGCTGTGCACTGTACCCTACCCATCCACTTTCCTGATCACATTGTAGTTCCCCAGTGTAAGGCGCTAGTCAATTCAGGCACAGCTGGGAACTTTATGGACAGGGCATTCTCACACAGTCTAGGCATTTAATGGATCCCCTATCCATTCCACTCCCCATCAGAGCACTTGACAGTCGACCATTAGGGTCTGGGTATATTAGGGAAGTTACCGCACCAATCACCATGGTTACCCACGAGACTCATTGCGAGCAAGTCACGTTTTTTCATTATTGAGTCTCCTGCTTTCCCTGTGGTACTAGGTATCCCTTGGTTAGCACGCCACAACCCCACATTCTCATGGCCGCAGAGGGTTCTCACGGGGTGGTCGCGAGAGTGTCAAGGTAGGTGTCTCGGTGTTTCCGTTGGTGCAACCACGGTGGAAAGTCCAGACAGTACCTCCACTGTGCGCATCCCCCCCGAATACCTCGATTTGGCGCACACATTTTCCAAAACGCAGGCGACCAAGTTACCACCTCATCGGGCGGGGGATTGCGCAATAAACTTCCGGGTAGACGCTGTGCCTCCCAGGATTCATGTGTATCCCCTGTCACAGGCTGAAACGGAGGCTATGGAAACATACGTCACCGAGTCCCTGTGCCAGGGGTTTATATGTCCCTCCACTTCACCCGCCTCCTCAAGTTTATTTTTTGTGAAGAAGAAAGACGTCAGTCTGCGCCCTTGCATTGATTATCTATCACTGAACAAGGATACGATTTAGTTATCCTCGCCCCCTCATTCCTTCAGTGATCGAGTCAATGCATGGGGCGCGCTTCTTCACCAAATTAGATCTCCAGAGTGCGTACCACCTGGTGTGTGTCCGAGAGGGGGATGTGTGGAAGACAGCATTCAGCACAACCACGGGGCATTCCGAATACCTGGTGATGCCGTACGGTTTGATGAATGCTCCATCCGTCTTCCAGTCCTTTGTGAACGAGGTGTTTCGGAACATGCTTAGTCACGGTTTAGTGGTCTACATCGATGACATTCTGGTGTATTCCACTACGCGCGCCGAGCATGTGTCCCTGGTTCGCAGAGTGCTGGCCCAACTGTTGGAAAATAACCTTTATGCCATGGCAGAAAAGTGTCTGTTTTTCCAGCAGTCCGTCTCCTTCCTCGGATACCTCAGGTGTGGAGATGGAGGGAGATCGCATTTCAGCCGTGCGTAATTGGCAGACTCCAACCACGGTTAAGGAGGTTCAGCGCTTTATTGGCTTCGCCAATTACTATCTGAGGTTTATCCGGGGCTTTAGCAAGGTCGCAGCTCCCATTACATCTCTGTTGAAGGGTGGGCCGTCCCGGCTCCGCTGGTCTGCTGAGGCTGACAGGGCCTTCAGTAACCTGAGGGGTCTGTTCACCTCAGCCCCGGTACTGGCCCACCCCGATCCATCACTACCGTTCGTAGTGGAGGTGGATGCGTCCTAGGTAGGGATAAGCGCTGTCCTATCTCAACGCTCGGGCACGCCACCCAAGCTCCGCCCCTGTGCCTTCTTCTCTAAGAAGCTCAGCCCGGCGGAGCAGAACTACGACGTTGGTGATCGGGAGCTGTTGGCTGTTGTCCGAGCCCTGACCATGTGGAGGCATTGGCTCGAAGGGGCGAAACACCCTTTCCTTGTCTGGACAGACCACCGTAACCTGGAGTACATCCGGGCAGCGAGGAGGCTGAATCCTCGCCAGGCCAGGTGGGCCCTATTCTTCACCCGGTTTGATTTCACACTATCATACATCCCGGGTACGAAGAACGTGAAGGCAGACGCATTGTCACGGCTGTATGACACAGAGGAGAGGCCCAGAGACAACAACCCCATACTCCCAGCCTCCTGCATTGTGGCGCCGGTAGTATGTGCGATGGACGCGGATATAGAGCAGGCGTTACGCACAGAGCTATCTCCACCTCAGTGTCCAGCTGGGCTGCAGTACGTGCCTGCTCTTATCCGTGACCGTCTGATCTACTGGGCATACAAGTCACCCTCCTCTGGTCACCCAGGTATCGGTCGTACAGTGCGCTGCCTGACCGGAAAGTACTGGTGGCCTACCTTGGCTAAGGACGTGAGGGTGTATGTCTCCTCCTGCTCTGTGTGCGCCCAGAGTAAGGCACCTAGGCACCTCCCAGCGGGTAAGTTACAACCTTTACCAGTTTCACAACGACCATGGTCTCACCTGAGTGTTGATTTCCTTACCGATCTTCCCCTCTCCCAAGGTAACACCACCATCCTGGTCGTTGTGGACCGCTTTTCCAAGGCCTGCTGCCTGCTTCCTCTGCCCGGTCTCCCCACGGCCCTGCAAACTGCGGAGGCCCTGTTTACACACGTCTTCCGGCACTACGGGGTACCAGAGGATATAGTGTCTGACCGAGGTCCCCAGTTCACATCCAAGGTCTGGAAGGCATTCATGGAACGTCTGGGGGTCTCGGTCAGCCTGACCTCTGGTTTCCACCCCGAGTCTAATGGGCAGGTGGAACGGGTAAATCAGGATGTGGGTAGGTTCCTGCGGTCCTACTGCCAGGACCGGCCGGGGGAGTGGTCGGTGTTCTTGCCATGGGCCGAATATGCCCAGAACTCTCTCCATCACTCCTCCACTAACCTAACGCCATTCCAATGTGTTTTACGTTACCAACCGGTTCTGGCACCATGGCACCAGAGCAACCAGTTCTGGCACCGTGGCACCAGAGCCAGACCGAGGCTCCTGTGGTGGATGACTGGTTTCGGCGTGCGGAGGAAACGTGGGACACTGCCCACGTCCACCTCCAACGCTCCGTGCGTCGTCAGAAGGCCAACGCTGACCGCCACCACAGTGAGGCCCCGGTCTTCGTACCGGGTGATCGGGTCTGGCTCTCGACCCGGAATCTGCCCCTCCGCCTGCCCTGCCGGAAGCTGAGCCCGCGGTTTGTGGGGCTGTTCAAAGTCCTGAGGAGAATCAACGAGGTTACCTATAGGTTATTACTCCCCCATGATTACCGTATTAACCTCTCGTTTCATGTGTCTCTCCTCAGGCCGGTGGTGGCTGGTCCGCTCCAGGAGTCTGAGGTGCGGGAGGTCCCTCCGCCTCCTCTGGACATCGAGGGGGCCCCGGCGTACTCTGTCCGTTCCATCCTGGATTTGAGGCGTCAGATGGGGGGCCTTCAGTACCTCGTGGAGTGGGAGGGGTACGGTCCGGAGGAACGGTGCTGGGTCCCGGTGAGGGATATTCTCGATCCCTCCCTGTTGCGGGATTTCCACCGTTGCCATCTGGCTCGCCCTGCTCCGTGTCCTCCTGGCCGTCCCCAAGGCCGGGGTCGGCGCGCTGCTGGAGCTGCGCGTCAAGGCGGGGGTACTGTCACGACTTCCTCCGAAGCTGCCTCCCCTCCTTGTTCGGGCTGGCTTTGGCATTCGTCGTCACCGGCCTTCTAGCCACTGCCACTCCATATCTCATCATTCCATTTGTCTTGTCTTGTCTATTACACACACCTGGTTCATATCCCCCTCATTAGTATGTGTTTAAGTGTTCCCTCTGCCCCCTTGTCCTTGTGGGTGATTGTTCATTGTGAGGATTAGTAGCTCGGTTGAGCTCAGTATTTTGTATTGCCGGGGTATTTTCCCTGTCGGCCATGTTTGTTCACGTGCACCTGTTTTGCGCACTGGACTGGTTACGCTGGATTACGGAATAAACTCTGTATACTGTGATTTACCCTCCTGCGCCTGACTCCTTCAAATCCCGCATCACACAAGGACTACTTTTAACAATTTACACTGAACATTTTCCAAAAATACATTTCTGGAAGAACTGTGCAGATGCAAGGTTTGGTAACAGAATTTCAGTAAAATCTTCCTCAGTTTTTTTTTATGTCTGCGGTAACGGAATTTCATCATATGTCCCTGATCTGTAGTACACAGAAATTCATAATTATGGATATGAAAGTCATTCTCTTCATGGTAATGTATCCTAAATAGGTACACAAAGGTATAAATATGTAATATCCTCCTTTGCATATTTGGGTATAATTCTACACAATGGCTAATATTTTAATGAGCTCTGCCTCCAAACAAGACAACATTTCATCAATGTGTAGGTGCTTACAGCTTTTGATGGAAACATCAAAGCAGTGACTCGCTCCTGCAGGTTCATGCTCTACAACTGAGGGCGGGGACCACAAAAAATCTGAACTCATCATGAGGGGCCGCAGTTGCTCGCATGGTCTGCGTAGCCACCCCCCCACCACCACCACCAACCCAAATGAAATGAAATTGTATTTGTCACTTGCGCCGAATACAACAGGTGTAGACCTTACCGTGAAATGCTTACTTACAAGCCCTTAACCAACAATGCAGTTCAAGAAATAGAGTAAAGAAAATATTTACTAAATAAACTAAAGTCAAAAATAAAATAAAAAGTAATAACGAGGCTATATAGACTCGGTACCGAGTCAATGTGCGGGGGTACAGGTTAGTTGAGGTAATTTGTACATGTAGGTAGGGGTAAAGTGACTATGCATAGATAATAAACAGCGAGTAGCAGCTAAAAAGAGGGGGGGTCAATGCAAATAGTCCAGGTAGCCATTTGATTAGCTGTTCAGCAGTCTTATGGCTTGGGGGTAGAAACTGTTAAGAAGCCTTTTGGACATAGACTTGGCACTCCGGTACCGCTTGCCGTGGGGTAGCAGAGAGAAGTCTATGACTAGGGTGGCTGAAGTCTTTGACAATTTTTAGGGCCTTCCTCTGACACCGCCTGGTATAGAGGTCGTGGATGGCAGGAAGCTTGGCCCCAGTGATATACTGCGCCGTACGCACTACCCTCTGTAGTGCCTTGCGGTCGGAGGCCGAGCAGTTGCCATACCAGGCAGGGATGTAACCAGTCAGGATCCTCTCGATGGTGCAGCTGTAGACCTTTTTGAGGATCTGAGGACCCATGCCAAATCTTTTCGGTCTCCTGAGGGGGAATAGGCTTTGTCGTGCCCTCTTCACGACTGTCTTGGTGTGTTTGGACCATGATAGTTTGTTGGTGATGTGGACACAACTTGAAGCTCTCAACCTGCTCCATTAAAGCCCCGTCGATGAGAATGGGGGCGTGCTTGGTCCTCTTCTTTTTCCTGTAGTCCACAATCATCTCTTTTGTCTTGGTCACGTTGAGGGAGAGGTTGTTATCCTGGCACCACACAGCCAGGTATCTGACCTCCTCCCTATAGGCTGTCTCATCGTTGTCAGTGATCAGGCCTACCACTGTTGTGTCGTCGGCAAAACTTAATGATGGTGTTGGTGTCGTGCCTGGCCATGCAGTCATGGGTGAACAGGGAGTACAGGAGGGGACTGAGCACGCACCCCTGAGGGGCCCCCGTGTTGAGGATCAGCGTGGCAGATGTGTTGTTACCTACCCTTATCACCTGGGGGAGGCCCGTCAGGAAGTCCAGGATCCAGTTGCAGAGGGAGGTGTTTAGTCCCAGGGTCCTTAGCTTAGTGATGAGCTTTGAGGGCACTATGGTTTTGAACGCTGAGCTGTAGTCAATGAACAGCATTCTCACGTAGGTGTTCCTTTTGTCCAGGTGGGAAAGGGCAGTGTGGAGTGCAATAGAGATTGCATCATCTGTGGATCTGTTGGGGCGGTATGCAAATTGGAGTGGGTCTAGGGTTTCTGAAATAGTGGTGTTGATGTGAGCCATGACCAGCCTTTCAAAGCACTTCATGGCTACAGACGTGAGTGCTACAGGTCTGTAGTCATTTAGGCAGGTTACCTTAGTGTTCTTGGGCACAGGGACTATGGCAGTCTACTTGAAACATGTTACAGACTCAGTCAGGGACAGGTTGAAAATGTCAGTGAAGACACTTGCCAATTGGTCAGCACATGCTTGGAGTACACGTCCTGGTAATCCGTCTGGCCCTGCGGCCTTGTGAATGTTGACCTGTTGAAAGGTTTTACTCACATCGGCTACTGAGAGCGTGATCACACAGTCGTCCGGAACAGCTGATGGTCTCATGCATGCCTCAGTGTTGCTTGCCTCGAAGCAAGCATAGAAGTGATTTAGCTCGTCTGATAGGCTCATGTCACTGGGCAGCTCATAGCTGTGGTTCCCTTTGTAGTCTGTAATTGTTTGCAAGCCCTGCCACATCCGACGAGCATCAGAGCCGGTGTAGTAAGATTCAATCTTAGTCCTGTATTGAAGCTTTGCCTGTTTGATGGTTTGTCAGAGGGCAGAGCATGATTTCTTATAAGCGTCCGGGTTAGAGTTCCGCTCCTTGAAAGCGGCAGCTCTACCCTTTAGCTCAGTGCGGATGTTGCCTGTAATCCATGGCTTCTGGTTGGGGTATGTACGTATGGTCACTGTGGGGATGACGTCATCGATGCACTTATTGATGAAGCCAGTGACTGATATGGTGTACTCCTCAAACATTTCTAAAACCTGTTTTTGCTTTCTCATTATGGGGTATTGTGTGTAGATTGATGAGGGGAAAAAAACAATTTAATCAATTTTAGAAAAAGGCTGTAACATAACAAAATGTGGAAAACGTTGAGGGGTCTGAAAACTTTCCGAATGCACTGTATTTGCCCAATGAAGTCGGTTACGATGCCGAACTGCAGTCAGGTCAAGACCCTGGTGAGGATGACAAGCATGCAAATGAGCTTCCCTGAAACGGTTTCTGACAGTTTGTGCTGAAATTGTTTGGATGTGCAAACCCACAGTTTCATTCATCACCCGCAGGTGAAGAAGCCGGATGTGGCGGTCCTGGGCTGGCATGGTTACACGTGGTCTGCGATTGTGAGGCCGGTTGGACGTACTGCCAAATTCTCTAAAATGAAGAGAAATGGTAGAGAAATGAACATTCAATATTCTGGCAACAGCTCTGGTGGACATTCCTGCAGTCAGCATGCCAATTGCACGCTTACTCAAAACTTGAGACATCTGTGGCATTTAGTTGTGTGACAAAACTGCATCTTATATTTCAGCTCATGAAACATGGGACCAACACATTACATGTTGTGTTTATATTTTTGTTCAGTATTCATTCCAGCTCTGCCAGAAGAAGAGACACAGGAACACACAGCTCAGATGTCATCTTTCCTGTGTATTCTCTAGTAAGAACATATTCTACCAAATCCTATTTTGTCCAGAATAGAGCTATATATAACATAACATGTACATTAAGGACAAAAACATCCTGTGTCTTTACCAAGTCGAGAAAAGACAAAATCACTCCAATTGATTACGATATGTACTGTACTCAAAGAAACTACAGGTAACTGCCAAAATAAAGGAAACACCAACATAAAGTGTCTTAATAGGGCACGCCAGAACAGCTTCAATGCGCCTTGGCATTGACTCTACAAGTGTCTGGAACTCTATTGGAGGGATGCGACACCATTCTTCCACGAGAAATTCCATAATTTGGTGTTTTGTTAATGGTGGTGGTAAACGTTGTCTCAGGCGTCACTCCAAAATCTCCCATAAGTGTTCAATTGGATTCGGTTCTGGAGACTGAGACACACACACTTTAAACCCCCTATGCTCCTTTGAGACCCCTTTTTCAAAGTCATTGAAATCTTATTCTAGCCATGGTAGCCAAAATAATGGGCAACTGGGCATTTTTAAACATGACCCTAACCATGGGATGCTTAATTAACTCAGGAACCACACCGGTGTGGAAGCACCTGCTTTCAATATACGTTGTATCCCTCATTTACTCAAGTGTTTCCTTTATTTTGGCAGTTACCTATATATTTCTAATAAGTTTTGAAAAACTTTAGTAGATTATTTCCTATGTAGGCCAGAATACATTTCCCCCTCGGCCTTTCCCTTAATTGGTCTTTGTCCAACAGCAGAAAGGAATTTCCTGACAGTCAGGGCAGGGGGTTGTGCAGGGCCATAGACGGTGCAGCAGGACCCATATGCATGATAATATTGCCTACTGTGCTCAGTGGAGCTCATCTCAGGCTAGAGCACAGAGGCTGCACACTCCACACTGAAAATATGTGTTTTGGAAATACAGGCTTGCATTCTTTGAACTATTGGCATTCTTTGAGGACTTGGCACATGTCTTGCTGTGCTTGTGTGTACTTACAAAATATACAATTCAACTGCTAACTAGATCACAGATTTGTGGAAGATGGTATGGGCAATAAAACTGAGTCTTTTCATCATGTTTTCACGTGGTGTTCTGAAAGAAAACTCTATTGCCTTTTATGTCCTTCATATCATTCCAATGTAATAAAAAGGAGCTAGGGAGAGTGGGAATTAAGTCCTTGAAGTCAGTTGTCCGCTATAGGCTACTCCTCAGTTTATGATGGTCCTCATATCTGATGGGACTTCAGCCAAGGTAAGAGCTGGAGCAGTGTGATAACATGTTGCAGTTACATACAGAACCACATGACCTTCACTGTAGAAAGCTCAGGTAGCAGCTTGTTTAAATATCAGGTTACCTGTGCACAGGTTTACCTTAGCTGTAGGTCTATGTAAAATACAGGTGTATGAATTGTTTCAAACTAAAACTGTTCTTTGTCACAATGACTCTTCTTTCCACTTAATGATATGTGATGGGGGTCTTATCACTCCTCTTCAGGCTCCAGTTAGGCTCGACCTAACTGCAGTAAGATACCAGTATGATTGTGGAACTGGACTGAACTGTTTCTCTTATCATAGTCCGACCAGAAACACACTATTGGCTACTGTAGGGGGGATTATTTTATTTGCAAGGTATAGGTCTTTTACTATCTCTGTAATAGTTGTCAAGAGCAACTTCAACAAAACAACAACTAGTTAGACAGGAAATCCAGATGTTTAGGCCAGGGGTCATTAGAAAAACTTTGCAGAACTTTTTATCTGCATCTTTCTCCCCAGGGGTCAGATGATCAGCAACCACCACACCATAATAATTTAGTAGGAGTGTGAGAACTCAGAACTTTTTAATGACATTCATTGCATGCTTCATTGCATAATCTTGTGGATAACAATTTATTTATTTTTTCTCTTTCTCTCTCTATGTCTGTTGCATTTTGTGCTTACATCCAAAATAATCTGATTGCATCACTATTAAAGTGGCAGATGCTACATTCATTTTTGGACTTATAAATTAATGATATATTCCCAATATTCTTGAAGAATATAACGTATAAATGCTTCAATAGCTTAGTTCAACTGCCGTACCCAGGGCTCTAAATAAATAAAAACATTGGTAGCACTGGCGCGCCCAATTTAACAAAGCTAGGAGCACAACATAAAATCTAGGAGCACCAGAAGATATATATTTTTTCATTGATTGAGATATAGCATATTGGGCCTATATTAATTCTAGCTACTTTTGAAGCACATGTTGTGATCATAGGCATGTCATCCACCTATTCCTATGGAAAACTCCCGATCGTGCATGAAGCCGGAAGTGTTTGAATTTGAAGCGCGCCATTTTGCTGAAAGGGGCTGAATGGCACAAAAAAATCGCAAAGGATCATGGTGAAAGTGGCCGTAACTAGCAAAGGATCATGGTGAATGTGGCCGTAACTAGCAAAGGATCATGGTCGATGTAGTCGTTTTCATCCTGCCTGAGAGAGTCAACCGGGAGCCTCCTCCTAGCCTGCTGGCCCGTGATTGGTCTGTGTCAGCACGTGGTCCTGTGTGACGACAAATGTAGTAGTCAGAATAGATCACTATTTTATTAAATATCTAGATTTGTAGCAAACTTTAAAATAATTAATAGTTGGAATCAAACCTGATCATAGCAAACACATTTTAGAGGCCAAAACATAGGCTTTCTAGGGCAGACCAGGGCTCGTGGACCACTAGGTTGCTACGCAGTAGCCGATTAGCAGAGCTCATGACTTTACACTCCAGACCGGACACTGGGGGCCTGGTTGTGCTCTAGAAACTAATATTTAAACCTGTAAATACAACCTGTCATTGAAAGTAATTTGTGGAATATTAGGTGGTTTCTACATTGTGTAAAAGCACTACCTATTGAGCTGCATTACATTGAAAAATCTACACTGTCTCAAATATGTGAGTGAGGACATGCAAGAGATAAGTCATTAATTAATTGCTATGATCATTGATCTTCTAAAGAAGCTATCCCTTTTCCTTTCTTTCTGTGCCCCCAAATGTTTAGATAGCTAGCTAATGAGGTAGCATGACTGAATAAGGTGTAAACAAATGTTTAGATAACTAGCTAATGAGGTAGCATGACTGAACAAGGTGTAAACAAATGTTTAGATAGCTAGCTAATGAGGTAGTATGACTGAACAAGGTATAAACAAATGTTTAGATAGCTAGCTAATGAGGTAGCATGACTGAACAAGGTGTAAACAAATGTTTGGTTTATGGACATGGCCATAAAAACTAACTTTTTGGTCCAGCAGCCACTGTCCCAGGTAGATGAAAAAATCTACCAGCCACTCAGAATTCTTACCAACCAATACATTTATTCGCCATAATAACACCAAAACCTACAAAAAAATAGTTTTCTGTTTTGTTTTTCCAGGTTTCTGATTTCCCCTAGTGTTTTTCAGGGTTTCACTCTCAAAATCACACTTTTTTAAATAGAAAAACTAAACAAATTGATGTTCTAAGTCCACAAAAATGCTTAAACCACATCAGGAGACCACTTTTGAGGTTTGGAAAAAAATATATATATATATATTTGGAGGGTATAGTTGCTCTTTATTTTCGCTTGCACACTTCAATAGACTGGTGTTTGGCTGGCGGTGTTTCTGTACTGCATGCGCAATAGCAGAGTTTGCAAAACAAAAGACCACCTGATTAATACAAATCATGATATCATATCATTCTGCCAGGTAAGCCTACTTTGCAGTTAACATTTAATTTGGAAAGTTTTATGGGAAAGCCTTTAGAAATGACTGTTTTGGCATCGCTAACTGGCTACACAAAGTGGTAGACACAGGCTTTCCCATGCCATTAAGTCTTCAGAAAGTTGCAAGAAATACAAATCACTGATGCATTCTTTAATATTCTTTACATGTAGACTTTGGATTGAACGAATCTGCGCTCACTTTTTTCTGTAGGCACTCCGAAACAACTGCACAGTGAAGCTTATTATTTCAACAATTATTATCCGTTTTGTTCCGTTTGCTTCCATTAAAGAAATGTTTTTCAACAGAATTGGCGGAATGAATACACCCCTGATCACGCGTAAACACAGTTCACTTTCATAGCAGCCAAGTTGTATTCCTTCTCACGTCTATGCGCTCTCCTCCTCTCACCTTTTCCCTTCGCTTGTGGACTTCAATGCACAATATCCCTAGCGAATTGATGTTGATCATCTGTTATTGTCTGCTTGATTTACAGCAGGGTCTTGTAAGATTTAACAGAGAAAGCATCAAGGTAATGAGTTCATGTTTTCATATGTTTTTGTGCTTCAGATTGGACACAGAGTCTACTGTGCACAATTGTGTAGGAAAGACTACTGCGCAACACCCAGCGCTATTCCTATTAACTATTCTGGATATTATGACAACAAATTACATAGCCTAGTGGGCTTATTCACAATATGATCTGGTAATGAAATAACATGACAAATACATTTTGTTTTCCATGTTAGACCTGCAATTTTAAACAACACAAGGGGCTTGAAGTAGCCTACTTGAACTTGAATTTGGAGCTCAAAAATTCAAGTACTGGAATAGGCCTACCTTGAAAATCAGACATTTCCTCAATTTGGTGCTTGAAAAGTTATTGTAATTATTGTAGCCAATGTATAAGTTCTCCTGCTCCCTTATAATGATCCGCGATTACATTTTTGATCCGTTTTTGTAAGTGATTTGGCCACTTTCGTTTGTGTCCCGACGCTTAATTGAAGGGTGTTGCACTACTCTGTTGCGGTAAATCCATGTGCGGTTATTATGAGGACGACAACATCTAATGTTGGCTTCAACTTGGCTTTAAAAAAATCATTCCATTAAAAAAGGAACCTGGTTTTTGGTCACTTTCTCATTACAAAAACAGCAATGGTGAGATTCAAACGGTGAGATTAATGCTATCACTATTTATGGCTGAGTCGGCCACATAGCCTACAGAAAAATCGCCATGCATGCACACAATCTATTTAGTCAGGCAAAACAATATCCACATTATTCTCACATGTGGAACTGCATGAAAATACTATTTTTGTTTCAAACCATTTTGAAATGTTGATCCCAATGTCACAAATTGGCCCCATTATTTATAGAAAGACCCATATACAGTGTCTTTAGAAAGTATTCACACCCCTTGACTTTTTCCACATTTTGTTGTGTTACAAAGTGGGATTCAAATTGATGTAATTGTGATTTTTTGTCAACAATCTACACAAAATACTTGAATGTGAAAGAAAATGTTTAACATTCGTTAAAAAAAGATTACAAATAAAACACTAATATATCTTGATTAGATAAGCATTCAAACCCCTGAGTCAATACATGTTAGAATCACCTTTAGCAGCAATTACAGCTGTGAGTCTTTCTGGGCAAGTCTCTAAGAGCTTTCCACACCTGGATTGTGCAACATTTTCCCATTATTCTTTCCAAAATTCTTCAAGCTCTGTCAAATTGGTTGTTGATCATTTCCAGACAAACATTTTCAGGTCTTGCCATAGATTTCCAAGCTGATTTAGGTCAAAACTGTAACTAGGCCACTCAGGAACATTCAATGTCGTCTTGGTAAGCAACTCCAGTGTATATTTGGCCTTGTGTTTTAGGTTATTGTCCTGCTGAAAGGTGAATTTGTCTGTTGGAAAGCAGACTGAACCAGCTTTTCCTCTAGGATTTTGCCTGATTAGCTCTATTCTGTTTCTTTTTATCATAAAAACCTCCCTAGTGACAAGCATACCCATAACATGATGCAGCCACCGCCATGTCTGCTTTATTTTTTTCTTACCCATCTACCAATAAGTGCACTTCTTTGCGAGGCATTGGAAAACCTCCCTGGTCTTTGTGGTTGAATCTGTGTTCACTGCTCGACTGAGGGACCTTACAGATAATTGTATGTGTGGGGTACAGAGATGAGGCAGTCATTCAAAAATCCTGTTAAACACTATTATTGCACACAGAGTAACTTATTATGAGACTTGTTATGCAAATGTTTACTCCTGAACTTATTTAGGCTTCCATAACAAAGGGGTTGAATACTTATTGACTCAAGACATTTCAGCTTTTCATTTTTAATTAATTCATAAAAAAATTGAAAACATAATTCCACTTTGACATTATGGGCTATTGTGAACTTAATTAGGCTTGCCGTAACAAAGGGGTTGAATACTTATTGACTCAAGACATTTCAGCTTTTCCTTTTGTATTAATTCATTCAAATTTCAAAAGACATCATTCCACTTTGACATTGACATTTTGGCATTATTTTTTACATTATATGGTATATATTATGGGGTATATACTGTATCTGTATATTATGGGGTATTGCCAGTGACAAAAAAGGGCACGTTCCCAGGGCCTGACCTCCAGGGGGCCCCCATTGATTGTCACATTCACTCAGATATCATATTAACATGGCATAAGTCATGGCAAAATGTGTAGAATTTCAGAAAAATAGCTTTAAACTGCTCAAATTTCTCTCCGCCCCATGCCAAAATGCAGAAAACTCAAACATTGTCTCTACCCCCATGGCAAAATGTGTAGAATTTCAGAAAAATAGCTTTAAACTGCTCAAATGTCTCTCTGCCCCATGCCAAAATGCAGAAAACTCCAACATTGTCTCTACCCCCATGGCAAAATGTGTAGAATTGCAGGAACCTTACTTTAAAACAAACAAAACAATTATTCGCCTTAGGGCCCCCAAAAGGCTAGCTGCATCCACAGCTCTTGGTTAAAATTCTCCAGCCCCAATCCCTCAGCTTTTTACTGAAACAGGGGCGATAAAACGCTTTGTTATTGTTTCTACTATTGATTGCCGATTTAAACCATATATTCATATTCATTTTGATTTATGAATGATTATTGATTAGGGTTCTTGAAAGTAACCCTATAATAGCCAATCACACAAACTTAAGAACGTGATAGCAACATATATCCTATCTAATGTGACAACTGCTGCGGTCATGCATGAGAAAGACCTAACACAAACAAATTGGATCAATCTGACTACATCGAGGAAACTATCTAAGGCATTATGCATTACTTCAAATTCTGCAGAATTTCATCATCAGCCATAGCAGCCATTTCCGTTATCTGCGTATGTGGAGAGGTTTAGAACTGCACCCTGATCTAATCTTACCTGTCTTGGCTTTCATGTTGGCCCTCAAAAGGTCCCCACTTGAAAGGTGCATTAATCCGAAACGTTTTACTATGCGCCCCGACACAGTGCCTTTCCCCGAGCCCGGAGGTCCCACGATAACCGCCCGGAATATCCTTTGTAGAACCATTTTCCAATGTTGTTGTTAATGTTGTAACCACCACATAAAGAAAAGTATTGTCCTTCCCATGAAACTGTTGTTTGTGCGTTGACACAAGGAAACTTCCGTTCAAGTGCCCTTGGATGTCCAAGCCTATCCACTGTGCGCAATAGTGCATTCGCCTACTGTGGGCGTCTCCTGTAGCAGTCCTAGCTTGTCCCTTCAAATCAGCCCTTTTTTTCTGAAAACATTGACGTGGATAGAGGAGGAGGTAGTTCATAACGAGAAAACCGCTTCGGCTCGCTGCATGGGCTGGCTGCGCTGCACGGAGGGCACGTGAGGACGCTCAAATCCACACATCAGTCAAGATCAATGATGTATAATATAAACCAATGACTGTGATATAAACCCTAGATTCATAGCCGCAGAAAGTAGGGGTGCTGAGGGTGCTGCAGCACCCCCTGATAAAATCATATAATATAAATAGATTTTAATTAAAAAATGAAGAACAAAATCTACCAAATTAGTGCACTAGGCCTTTATTACTCCTGTATGAGCAGAGACAAATACTCATCAGACAAAAATGCTCTGCAGCAGTGCAGTTAAAGATAAATACAAAATTATAATAGAAATAATGAAATGATAAGCCTAAATACACAGTGAATGGTGAATAAAAATAACGAGTAAAATTAACATGGCTATATACAGGGAGTACCAGTACAGAGTCGATGTGCAGGGGTACGAGGTAATTGAGTTAGCTACTGTACATATAGGTAGGGGTAGACAACAGTGACTACACAACAGGATAGATAATAGACAGTAGCAGCAGCGTGTGAAAGTGTGTGTGTGTCTGTGTGTGTCTGTGTGTGTGAATGTGTGTGTAGCATCAGTATGCATGTGTGCACATACAGTACCAGTCAAACGTTTGGACACACCTACTCATTCAAGGGATTTTCTTTATTTTTAATATTTTCTACATTGTAGAATAATAGTGAAGACATCAAAACTATGAAATAACACATATGGAATCATGTAATAACCAAAAAACAGCTTTGCACACTCTTGGCATTCTCTCAACTAGCTTCACCTGGAATGCTTTTCCAACAGTCTTGAAGGAGTTCCCACATATGCTGAGCACTTGTTGGCTGCTTTTCCTTCACTCTGCGGTCCAACTCATCCCAAACCATCTCAAGTGTGTTGAGGTCGGGTGATTGTGGAGGCCAGGTCATCTGATGCAGCACTCCATCATGCTCCTTGGTCAAATAGCCTTTACATAGCTTGGAGGTGTGTTTTGGGTCACACATGCAGAGATCATCCGTTCACCTACTCTGCGTCTCACAAAGACACGGCGGTTGGAACTAAAAATCTCAAATTTGGACTCATCAGACCAAAGGACAGATTTCCACCGGTCTAATGTCCATTGCTCGTGTTTCTTGGCCCAAGCTAGTCTCTTCTTCTTATTGGTGTCCTTTGGTAGTGGTTTCTTTGCAGCAATTCGACCATGAAGGCCTGATTCACACAGTCTCCTCTGAACAGTTGATGTTGAGATGTGTCTGTTACTTGAACTCTGTGAATCATTTATTTGGGCTGCAATTTCGGAGGCTGTTAACTCTAATAAACTTCTCCTCTGCAGCAGATGTAACTCTGGGTCTTCCTTTCCTGTGGCGGTCCTCATGAGAGCCAGTTTCATCATAGTGCTTGATGGTTTTTGCGACTGCATTTGAAGAAACTTTCAAAGTTCTTGAAATTTTCCAGATTGACTGACCTTCATGTCTTAAAGTAATGATGGACTGTCGTTTCTCTTTGCTTATTTGAGCTGTTCTTGCCATAATATGGACTTGGTCTTTTACCAAATAGGGCTATCTTCTGTATACCCCCCCTCACAACACAACTGATTGGCTCAAACGCATTAAGAAGGAAAGAAATTCCACAAATTAACTTTTAACAAGGCACACCTGTTAATTGAAATGAATTCCAGGTGACTGCTTCATGAAGCTGGTTGAGAGAATGCCAATAGTCTGCAAAGCTGTCATCAAGGCAAAGGGTGGCTATTTGAAGAATCTCAAGTACAAAATATATTTTGATTTGTTTAACACTTTTTTGGTTACTACATGATTCCATATGTGTTATTCCATAGTTTTGATATCTTCACTATTATTCTACAATGTAGAAAATAGTAAAAATAAAGAAAAACCCTGGAATGAGTAGGTGTGTCCAAACTTTTGACTGGTACTGTATGTGTGTGTGGGTGTATGTAGTATGTGTATGTGTGTGTTGGGGTGTCAGTGTAAGTATGTGGGATTGTGTGGGTAGAGTCCAGTGTGTGTGCATAGAGTCAGTGCAAGCGAGTTAGTGCAAAGAAAGGGTCAATGCAGGTAGTCCGGGTAGCCATTTCATTAGCCATTTAGCAGTCTTGTTTAGCAGTCTTATGCCCTGTGGGTAGAAGCTGTTCATGGTCCTGTTGGTTCCAGACTTGGTGCGCTGTTACCGCTTGCTGTGCGGTAGCAGAGAGAACAGTCTATAGCTTGGGTGGCTGGAGTCTTTAAAAATTTTTGGGGCCTTCCTCTGACACCAAGGAGCTCGACCCGCATAGATGGAAATAGAAAAGTCTGAGCCTTTTGGGTAAAACACTGGGGTAAATTAGCCCATTCATAGATGCTAACTACCTTTAGCATCTATTCCTGATGGTATCTTCTGGACGGGGTAGATTTGTTCTGAACATTAACACGCGGTACGGTTTTGGAAACATCTTTCATAGAAAAAAAGAAAAGGAAAAAAAATGGTTAAATTACTACACACCTTTATAGGGTTAGTGTTCCCACACGGCGATATCTCCATGTTACAGCGCTTGTTTACGGAAGACAGAGGCGACTACCTGTGCTAATTACCTGTGCTAATTAGCTATCTAGCGTGCTCGAACACCTGTGTGTAAGCATAACTGGGAAGGAAGTGTAGTTCGTCAGCTGGAGGCACACAACCATATGGATCTGTGCAAACCTGCTTCAGTAAGTGTATGTTTTTATTTGAAATTATTTTTTGGTGATATGGAAGATGACTTCCATATGTTTCAAAAACTGTATCGCAACCAATGATTATTGACGTTTCTAAATGTTAAAACAGTGCTTATAGCTGAGAACCCTTGAGATAAGGCAGAATGCCTCGTTTAATGCCTTGGGTTCTCGAGAACAAAGGTTTGTCCTGTATGAAAATGCGCCATAACAGTATGTGTTTTTTGCATAGGCTTTTATTTGGACCAAAGACCATTTGGACAGAGAATAAATAAATAAGTGAATAATTACTGATATTTACCCACGGTCAAAAGGTTTCTCATCACAGTGTGATGTATTGGTGTCACAGTGTGAGCCATTAACTCTCTCTGACTGAACTTTGTGCCCTGTGGTGTTTGATAAAACTAGAGATAACGGGGTTAAAGCAGTGCTAGGGCGCCATCTGGTGGTTAATCGGAATGCTCCATTTAAAATGCCCTTTATGTCCCTCATGGCGTACCGTAGTTAACCCTTCACCCTCTCGCCTCTCCATGTCGAAAACACGTGTGGAAATAACAACAGCATGGCAAGCCAGGGGCTCACCTACGATGGTTGTAATTTTTTCAGACAACGACTAGTGTTATCAACTCTAAGTGGCAAAAGAGTCAAAATCCGAAACATACGATCTAAAGATGATAACCCAGGACTTAGAGGTAAGTGGACTACAAAACACCCATGTGGCGTCGTATTATTATATATGGCTAGCATTACCTAGCTAGCTGTTACTACGCAGTTAAAGTTCACCCATTCCAGCACGCACAAGTAGACTGAATTGTTGCTTTTTGGCACAAATACCATAGACATTAGTCAACCAGCTAAGTTATTGGACAACATCTAATGTAGGATACATTAGGAACATAGCTACATAACAATGCATATTCATGTGATCCTTTTTGAGGATTTCTTGTTAGCTAGGTAAATAGCAGTCACTACCCCTACCAGCTGGCATTTGCGTTCAACCAAAGACTAACACTCCTCTATAGAAGATCATGCTTCTATAAACACACATCCTTAATTCTGCAAATTATCCCATAACTCTTTGTATACAGTCAAGTAAATGCTGTATATGCCTAATACATATATAAGGGTGTGGTTGTTATTGGGGTGGAGCTACACTTTTATTGACTTATTTTTTTCTAGATTTTGAAGCCAGCTTCATCAGGCTTCTGGACAAGGTAACCAATGGGACCAGAATAGAAATCAACCAAACAGGTAAACCATGGGAGGATGAATACACAGACCACAGCATATGTCATGCTCACTATTGCATTTCAATGTAATTGGGTTAGTTTGTACTCTGCAGCCACCTACCGTTTGAATGCATGATGCATGCATGTACACCAAACTGACCTTGGCAGGACCGCAGTATGACACAACACATGCACACTTGACTCGTCCTCACACACACACAGGTCAGCTCTTGTGTTTGAAGGGGCAAGCTATTGATCTATCACGGTTGACAGTGGGATAACAGGAAGGAACTCATCAGCCCTTCAAGGATATTTTCTTTTATTTAGTTTACCTTTATTTAACTAGGCAAGTCAGTTAAGAACAAATTCTTATTTACAATGACGGCCTACACCGGCCAAACCCGGCCGACGCTGGGCCAATGAACATGGTATTACCCAAACATAGGTCATATTTTGTAATCCTGAACCTGATTTTTGCTTGTTGTAACATGAATGTTGCAGTTTAGCTCTTGAATGTTTTTTATGTTGGGAAATGTTTCCACATGTTTTGGAGACCTTGGTGCTGCGGCGCCCCCCAACAGTGTCATAGATGTTGAAACACAGCATTTGCAAGGCATGATATGCACATGCTAACGTGGGTGTAGTTGCATTTGTTTACATGCACCAAATGTCCGCTTTTGATGATGTCACTAGGCATTTCTGCGTACATTTTTCAACTCCTAGACCCACAGGCCAGGCGGCACAGACTGATATCCCTGTCCTGGGCCATGTTCATAAGGGCACATCGTAGCAAGACATCATGCAACAGAAAACAAAAATCTGTGCTTTCATTGGACAACTGTATGTACGACCATCCAGTTGTAAAAATAAAATAAAAATCCCCACTGAAAACCAACCTCTCCTCTCTCTGCCCTGTAGGTACGGTGCTGTTCTACCAGCCAGGCCTGCTGTATGGTGGTGTGGTGGAACATGAGTGTAACACCCAGCGGTCTGTGGGTTACTACCTGGAAGCTCTACTCATGCTGGCTCCCTTCATGAAGAACCCTCTGAAGGCTGTGCTGAAGGGGGTCACCAATGACCCTACAGACCCCTCGGTTAGACCCATGTTCCCTTTCTTATATATACATGTGTAGCGGATGGCTAAGGGGCAGTGAAAAAATTACTGGGGTGGGGGGGTGGTACAAAATAGGGGAGGGTTGTCTATTGTAAAAAATATTTATTTGCTTTGGGGAGTATTTTTAATTTTTATTGGGCACAGGGAAAGGTAGTGTGTTTTTTCCCTGATTTACAGTCACCTTTTTGCAGGTTTTACTATATAATTTCTTCCATCCTAGCCAAATTTCCTCATCTGCTTGCAGATCAAGGTGTTTTGGTACTTCCCTTATGCACTACGCTTTTCCGCACGTTAACTATACCATACATACAATAATTCAAAGCTGCAGCAATTTTCTATATAAATCCACAAGAACAAAGACTAATAGCTGATAGGCAGCGGAGAGGCCAGGTGCGTCATTGCGCATGAAAGAACAGTGAAGACATGAGACACACAGCTGAAAAAGCTCTTGTTTAGGGACAATACAATTATCCTAGCTAGACTATAGTAGCCTACAACACCACAGTACAAGGAATAATTGCATGATTGTTTTCAAGTGAGTACAACATTCTACTTTAGGCTGTAAACTGCAGTGAAAATGTCATTTGAATAACGGACAAAAGCCCTGTGATTTGAATGTTTAATTCCATTTGGATCAGTTGTGGGTCTACTCTGGATAGTTTGTAAGGTCTAGAAAGGCACAGTAGCAGGCCAGTCTGGCTGTATTTTTACTTCAGATACTGAGATGCGCTGTCTGTTGCGGATCATCATTCTCTCAAGTCATCCTTTCCAGCAGCATACCCCCTGCATCCCACTGCTGGATTGCTTCTGAAGCTAAGCATGGTTGGTCCTGGTCAGTCCCTGGATGGGAGACCAGATGCTGCTGGAAGTGGTGTTAGAGTGCCAGTAGGAGGCAGTCTTTCCTCGGGTCAAAAAAAGAAATATCCCCATGACAGTGCCCTGTGTAGGGTGCCGTCTTTCAGATGGGACGTTAAACGGGTGTCCTGACTTTCTGTGGTCACTAAATATCCCATGGCACTTATTGTAAGATTAGGGGTGTTAACCTCTGTGTCCTGGCTAAATTTCCCAATCTTGGCCTCATACTTTGTTTTTACACTGCTGCTACTCGCTGTTTATTATCTATGCATAGTCACTTTACCCCTACAGTACATGTACAAATTACCTCGACTAACCTGTACCCCCGCACATTGACTCGGTACCGGTACCCCCTGTATATAGCCTCGTTATTGTTATTTTATTGTGTTTTATATATATATATATATATATATATATATATACAGTGCTATGAAAAAGTATTTTCCCCCTTTCTAATTTTCTCTACCTTTGCATATTTGTGATACCGAATGTTATCAGATCTTCAACCAAAACCTAATATTAGATAAAGGGAACATAAGTGTACAAATAATACAACAATTACATATTTATTTCATTTATTTCATAAACAAAGTTATGCAACACCCAATTCCCCTGTGTGAAAAAGTAATTGCCCCCTTACACTCAATAACTGGTTGTGCCACCTTTAGCTGCAATGACTCCAACCAAATGCTTCCTGTAGTTGTTGATCAGTCTCTCACGTCGCTGTGGAGGAATTTTGGCCCACTCTTCCATGCAGAACTGCTTTAACTCAGTGACGTGTGTGGGTTTTCAAGCATGAACTGCTTGTTTCAAGTCCTGCCACAACATCTCAATTGGGATTAGGTCTGGACTTTGACTAGGCCATTCCAAAACTTCCAATTTGTTGCTTTTTAGCAATTTACATGTAGACTTGATTGTGTGTTTTGGATCATTGTCTTGCTGCATGACCCAGCTGCGCTTCAGCTTCAGCTCACAGACGGATGGTCTGACATTCTCCTGTAGAATTCTCTGATACAGAGCAGAATTCATGGTTCCTTCTATTAAGGCAAGTCGTCCAGGTCCTGAGGCAGCAAAGCATCCCCAAACCATCACACCACCACCACCATGCTTGACCTTTGGTATGATGTTCTTACTGTGGAATGCAGAGTTTGGTTTTCGCCAGGCATTACTGGAACCATGTCGTCCAAAAAGTTATACTTTTGAATCATCTGTCCATAGAACATTCTTCCAAGAGTCTTGATGATCATCCAGGTGCTTTTTGGCAAACTTGAGTCAACTTTTTGGACGAGATGGGTCCCATTATGCCTGGCGAAAACCAAACACTGCATTCCACAGTAAGAACATCATACCAAAGGTCAAGCATGGTGGTGGTGGTGTGATGGTTTGGGGATGCTTTGCTGCCTCAGGACCTGGACATCCAAACTGTGCACCGGCCATTTGATGAATGGAAAGAGACATTTGTTACGAAGCACCAGAAAGTTGAATGACTTTCAGAGATTGTCAAGCCAAGCCTTCGATACTGGGTACAAGGTAGGGAGGGATGTATGTTCTGTTTGTCGAGATTGACAGCAGCTATGTTTTAGGGCTGTGACGATACCAGTATCGCAATATTTTTTCCATGGCAAAAATGAAAACATGAAGCAGATCAAACACTATGGTCTTTTAAAAACCTTCTTTATGGAAGATATTGTGTGCTATAGTTTGGAAAATAATAAATGTGACTGGATGACAAAATAATGATGGTTGTTTCCAACATTAGGGTCGTTTTCCTAAAGAAGTAACATTTATTAAATATTGCCATGATATTAACGAGTATCACAATACTGCTATGTTTCCATAAACTTGTCCAGTGATTTTTTTTTTTGTAGACATTTTAGAAAGTTCACATGGAAAATAGATGCAACAATTACAACAATACACTCCCGAGTGGTGCAGTGGTCTAAGGCACTGCATCGCAGTGTTAGCTGTGCCACTAGAGATCCTGGTTCGAATCCAGGCTCTGTCGTAGCCGGCCGCGACCGGGAGACCCATGGGGCGGCGCACAATTGGCCCAGCGTCGTCCAGGGTAGGGGAGGGAATGGCTTGCAGGGATGTAGCTCAGTTGGTAGAGCATGGCGTTTGCAACGGCAGGGTTGTGGGTTCAATTCCCACGGGGGGCCAGTATGAAACATCAAAAAAAAAAATGTATGCACTAACTGTAAGTCGCTCTGGATAAGAGTGTCTGCTAAATGACTAAAATGTAATTGCCTGCTAGGTTGCGTTTCCATTTAACTATCTTGTGTCGATAAAAACAGCTGGACGTAATGACATCACACTTAAAGTTTTCGCTAAAACTTAGTGTCGAATCAAAATGTAGTGGTTGAAGTATTTCCAACCCCTATTTAGGCCAATTGTGCATTAATAAATTGGTGACAGCCTATATGCCCTACCACCTACCTTGTTTCATGCCTCGGGTAGCCTGTGAAAGCCAGCATCGATAGAATGCAATAATTGACTAATAGTTGCCATATTCTAATAATTCTCGTGCCGATGTATCGCCACGGGCCGTGCCATGGTGAAATTTGCACTCCTTTAGATCTGACTAATTGGATGGTGAAACTTGCCGGCCAACCAGAAAAGCAAGGCGAAGCATTTCGGGCGTTCTTGAAAGTTACAGTGAGGGGAAAAAGTATTTGATCCCCTGCTGATTTTGTACGTTTGCCCACCGACAAAGACATGATCAGTCTATAATTTTAATGGTAGGTTTATTTGAACAGTGAGAGACAGAATAACAACAAAAAAATCCAGAAAAAGGCAAGTAAAAAATTTTATAAATTGATTTGCATTTTAATGAGGGAAATAAGTATTTGACCCCTCTGCAAAACATGACTTAGTACTTGGTGGCAAAACCCTTGTTGGCAATCACAGAGGTCAGACGTTTCTTGTAGTTGGCCACCAGGTTTGCACACATCTCAGGAGGGATTTTGTCCCACTCCTCTTTGCAGATCTTCTCCAAGTCATTAAGGTTTCGAGGCTGACGTTTGGCAACTCAAACCTTCAGCTCCCTCCACAGACTTTCTATGGGATTAAGGTCTGGAGACTGGCTAGGCCACTCCAGGACCTTAAGGTGCTACTTCTTGAGCCACTCCTTTGTTGCCTTGGCCGTGTGTTTTGGGTCATTGTCATGCTGGAATACCCATCCACGACCCATTTTCAATGCCCTGGCTGAGGGAAGGAGGTTCTCACCCAAGATTTGACGGTACATGGCCCCGTCCATCGTCCCTTTGATGCGGTGAAGTTGTCCTGTCCCCTTAGCAGAACCCCCCCCCCCCCCCCCAAAGCATAATGTTTCCACCTCCATGTTTGACAGTGGGGATTGTGTTCTTGGGGTCATAGGCAGCATTCCTCCTCCTCCAAACATGGTGAGTTGAGTTGATGCCAAAGAGCTCCATTTTGGTCTCATCTGACCACAACACTTTCACCCAGTTCTCCTCTGAATCATTCAGATGTTCATTGGCAAACTTCAGACGGGCCTGTATATGTGCTTTCTTGAGCAGGGGGACCTTCTTGAGCAGGATTTCAGTCCTTCAAGGCGTAGTGTGTTACCAGTTGTTTTCTTGGTGACTATGGTCCCAGCTGCTTTGAGATCATTGACAAGATCCTCCCGTGTAGTTCTGGGCTGATTCCTCACTGTTCTCATGAGCATTGCAACTCCACGAGGTGAGATCTTGCATGGAGCCCCAGGCCGAGGGAGATTGACAGTTATTTTGTGTTTCTTCCATTTGTGAATAATCGCATCAACTGTTGTCACCTTCTCACCAAGCTGCTTGGCGATGGTCTTGTAGCCCATTCCAGCCTTGTGTAGGTCTACAGTCTTGTCCCTGACATCCTTGGAGAGCTCTTTGGTCTTGGCCATGGTGGAGAGTTTGGAATCTGATTGATTGCTTCTGTGGACAGGTGTCTTTTTATACAGGTAACAAGCTGAGATTAGGAGCACTCCCTTTAAGAGTGTGCTCCAAATCTCAGCTCGTTACCTGTATAAAAGATACCTGGGAGCCAGAAATCTTTCTGATTGAGAGGGGGTCAAATACTTATTTCCCTCCATTAAAATGCAAATCAATTCATAACATTTTTTACATGCGTTTTTCTGGATTTTTTTGTTGTTATTCTGTCTCTCACTGTTCAAATAAACCTACCATTAAAATGATAGACTGATAATTTATTTGTCAGGTGAGCAAATGTACAAAATCAGCAGCGGATCAAATACTTTTCCCCCCTCACTGTAGGTCAGGACAATCCTTGTTCTGTAAAGAAGCCTTATTTTTATAGTTGGAAAAAAATTGATTTTGCAAGCAGTAGGCATTTAGAATTAAAAGTGGAGTGGAGCTTATAGTTACGTGATGACATCACATGCCCTGCGTACCTTCAAACTTATTTGGCAATCATAATTTATTCGAAACACTTAATTTGTCATAAATAAGGTTAGCCAATTAATACAAATGTTGTTGATCTTTAGAAAATGTCTCCTATATCTGCCGTTTCCATTATACATGTGGCAAAGATTTTTTTTTGCGACATTGCTTTTGTCAAATAAACCTGGGTCAATGGAAAACTGCCTATAGGCTATTTGATTGTGGTGCTGAAAATGCAAGCCATGATGTTGAAGTGCCCGAAGTTGGTATACTTTGCTTATTGGTTGTGTGCTGGGTTTATGTTAGGAAAATGTGGTGCCGGTCCGGCAACATTTTAATTTACCATACATTTGAGGAATATACCGGACTCGTATGCATTGGGTGCGTAACCTGATTAAGGTGTCCACCTACGGTGCTCAGAATGACAGAAATCCCATTTAGATATGGTAATTCATATTAACAGAACATGCAAGTTGAGGATAAAACGATGTAGTCCTTCTTAGCGAAATTATGATGTGCACTTTGAACATGTTAGAATAACTGTCCACATTTACTTTTCCTCAGCCGACAAGACGAGTAACGACCAACAAAAACACTAGCCTATGTCAATTTACTATAATAGAAAAGTTTAGGCTACCTATTATATTGGTCAGCTTGTCGATAAAGAAATAGCCTATTCTAAACAGACTCTGGGACAGTTGTGGGACGAAGGATCCCAAATTCATACAACCAGTAGGCCTAGGCTACATAATTATTTTATTTTTTTAAGCGATGTCTGATGCAACAGATCAGAACGTTTAGCTTAAAATGTTGATAAACTATTATTTCTTCACATTATAAACGCAGCAATGTGCACAAGGCAGTAGGCTATGTGTGAATGTTTGTTCAATAATGCAATTAGCGGGAAAACACTTGTCAAAAGGGCACTGCACATGGGAGCGGTTTCATGTGACAGAGATGAAAATATCAGTTAGAAATGTTGAAAGAGAGGAGATCTAATAGGCCACTTTGAAGCAAGTAAGACATGCCTCATAATATGTATTAAAACGTTCAGGTTTCAAACAATTAAGTATATGTTTTCAAAATGCGTACCGCCTCCAGCTCATTGCAAAGTCGTGTGTGACGCGCTGATGAAGCCTGCCGTTTGATGCCATGTTCAAAACAACTGGGAACTCTGACTTCAGTGCATTCAAGACAACTGGGAAAAGACTAGCTCCGCCTGGGGAAAGATTGCTTTGACCGGTCATCCAACTGTCTGCCAGATTTTCCATTCAAAGGCGCTGTATCTGTATGCTGTACGCTTGTGATAAATAAGATACATAACGAATAACTGTGCACACGCGCCAATTTAATTCCACTAAATAATGCAAATTAACCTATAGACCGATATGCATGACCAGTCAAATGTATTTCCATCGAATGGTATTTCCATAAATTAATAGGCAAAAAAGCATTATTTCGCAATGAGATTTTTCTTCTTCTCCCGGACAATTGGCCGGTGTCAATTTTATTTATTGGCTTTTCAACAACAACAAAACTGGACAAAAGCCGGATATTACCGGGTAACTGAAACCCTGGTTGTGTGGTGCATTGGCACAGAAACCTGTTGGTGGAAAATTTGTTGCATATATTTTATATAATTAGAAATATACAGTTGAAGTCGGAAGTTTACATACACCTTAGGAAAATACATTTAAACTAAGTTTTTCACAATTCCTGACATTTAATCCTAGTACAAATTCCCTGTCTTAGGTCAGTTAGGATCACCACTTTATTTTAAGAATGTGAAATGTCAGAATAATAGTAGAGAGAATGATTTATTTCAGCTTCAGAGCTGGTGTAACTTAGTCAGGTTTGTAGGCCTCCTTGCTCGCACACGCTTTTTCAGTTCTGCCCACAAATTATCTATAGGATTGAGGTCAGGGCTTTGTGATGGCCACTGCAATACCTTGACTTTGTTGTCCTTAAGCCGTTTTGCCACAACTTTGGAAGTATGCTTGGGGTCCATTTGGAAGAACCATTTGCGACCAAGGTTTAACTTCCTGACTAATGTCTTGATGTTGCTTCAATATATCCACATACTTTTCCTTCCTCATGATGCCATCTATTTTGTGAAGCGCACCAGTCCCTCCTGCAGCAAAGCACCCCCACAGCATGATGCTGCCACCCCGTGCTTCACGGTTGGGATGGTGTTCTTCGGCTTGCAAGCACCCCCTTTTTCCTCCAAACATAACGATGGGCATTATGGGCAAATAGTTATATTTTTGTTTAATCAGACCAGAGGACATTTCTCCAAAAAGTACGATGTTTGTCCCCATGTGCAGTTGCAAACCGTAGTCTGGCTTTTTTATGGCGGTTTTGGAGCAGTGTCTTCTTCCTTGCTGAGCGGCCTTTCAGGTTATGTCGATATAGGACCCGTTTTACTGTAGATATAGATACTTTTGTACCTGTTTCCTAGAGCATCTTCACAAGGTCCTTTGCTGTTGTTCTGGGATTGATTTGCACTTTTCGCACCAAAGTACGTTAAACTCTAGTATACAGAACGCGTCTCCTTCCTGAGCGGTATGACGGCTGCGTGGTCCCATGGTGTTTATACTTGCGTACTATTGTTTGTACAGATGAACGTGGTACCTTCAGGCGTTTGGAAATTGCTCCCAAGGATGAACCAGACTTGTGGAGGTCTACAATTTATTTTCTGAGGTCTTGGCTGATTTCTTTTGATTTTTCCATGATGTCAAGCAAAGAGGCACTGAGTTTGAAGGTAGGCCTTGAAATACATCCACAGGTACACCTCCAATTGACTCAAATTATGTCAATTAGCCTATCAGAAGCTTCTAAAGCCATGACATTTTCTTGACTTTTCCAAGCTGTTTAAAGGCACTGTCAACTTAGTTTATGTAAACTTCTGACCCACTGGAATTGTGATACAGTGAAATCATCTGTCTGTAAACAATTGTTGGAAAAATTACTTGTGTCATGCACAAAGTAGATGTCCTAACCGACTTGCCAAATCTATAGTTTGTTAACAAGAAATTTGTGGAGTGGTTGAAAAACGAGTTTTAATGACGCCAACCTAAGTGTATGTAAACTTCCGACTTCAACTGTAGCATCAAAATATACCAAATATGATTTCCCCCTAGCTGATCATTGTCTGCAGCTGGTTTTGATCGTAGAATAATGAAACAGGCAGGGAGAGTGAGCTTGTCCATGGTGGTCAGCGATCCCTCAACCTTCTGGCCCTGCGTGGCATTGACTGTGCCACAAAAGCATGCTGAAGTGGCAAAGTCGATATTCACGTTATTGTTATTTGTGGTTGTAAACAATATTTTTCAGTTAATTCAATGAGGGGGGAGGCTGTGCCCAAAACATTTACAGTACAAGGGGAGGGTAATGTGCATATATTTGTAACGTTGGGGAGGGGGCTGCATTTTCTTTTTTTGTAAGACACCGAGTTGGAATAGTGGCAGAATTGCCCTTTAAATTGTTATGATGCAGAGGGTTGTGATTTCCACTCTGTCACACATGCTGAATGGAAACATGTTTGTAAAGGTTGTATAAGTGGAAAACCAAACCTCTTATCTCGCCCTTTCTTCCAGGTTGACCAACTGAAATATACGGCCATTCCTGTGATGAAGAAGTTTGGGATTGATGGAGAGGGGCTGGAACTGAAGGTGAGGCTTTCAGAGCACATTCCTAGCATTACTGTGTAGGGGTTTACCCGTCTTCATATGATATACAGAATAACTGCTATCTTTGTCTGGTACTCTTCGTTGGTATGTGGTGGAATGTGTTATTGGTATAAGGTTTTAGAGCATTTTTTGTTTTTTTTGCAACTTGCCAGGACGTTGGAAGAATTTATTCTGAATGAACTTACCTGGTTAAATAAAGATGATTGTGTTTCCTGTGTCCAGGTAGTGAAAAGGGGGATGGCTCCAGGTGGGGGAGGCGAGGTACTGTTTACGTGTCCCGTTCGCAAGACTCTCCGTCCCGTCCAACTGTCAGACCCCGGCAAGATCAAGCGGATCAGAGGAATAGCGTATCTTTTTCATTCTCTTAATTCAATGTTTTGTCCTTTCTCTTATGGTGTTGTCGAGAGTCTTGACACCAGCAAAATGTATGGCAGTTATTGTATGTATGACATGTTTCAGTCTTCGTTTACATACTTGTATTTCTCTGTCATTGCCACCTTCTTGCTTTACCTGGCTCATATAACACAACTTTATTGATCCGTTATACAGAGACAACAGAAATTGTTACACACCTTGACATTGGTCATACAGATACTCTGTTAGAGTCTCTCCACAGATGGCCAACAGAATAGTGGACTCTGCCAGAAGCATACTGAACAAATTCATTCCTGATATCTACATCTACACAGACCACATGAAGGGGGACAAGTCTGGAAAGTAAGTAGTGTCTCAGCCTGTGTCATATTCATTAGTCCACAGCTTAGGAAAACGAGAAAAGAAGTGCAGGTAAACCCTCTCCGTTTCAGTCTGTTTTCTTCTGTTTGTTGCCTGATGAACACAACCATGGTCTTTCTCTGATGCTGTAACTTTGGCCACTAGATGGGGAAATACTTAGGAAAAGCTGGAAGATTTACTTTCCAAGAAAACAGGCAGGCAAACTGTACTTAACTAGGGATGTTAATCGGTTAGCTGGCGGACCAAAATTTGACCGGTCATGCTTATCGGTCGATAGGTTAATTTGCATAATTTAGTGGAATTAAATTGGACTGTGTATCTTATTTATCACACGCACACCATACAGAGCATAGTTTGAGTGGAATAATATCACCTGTCAGACAGGGAGTGCTGCAGCTGATTGCTGCTGGAGTGAAACTTGTTCTTATAAGCCCCGTAATTGCGCAACAATTCGAAATGCAGTTGCGTGTTAAAAATAAATTTGATGGCCTTGATGAAAAAGAGGATCCCAGCTTTCTATTGCTACTATCTTTATTTCTCAACTCCTAATTGAAGCCCGTCCTCCATTCGCCATTCGAGTGCATAGGCAATACGTTTGGCAGGCTATCAGCACATTACCCGACACCTTGCAATTAGAGGCAACATGCATTTTGAAAACACATACTTCATTGTTTGAAACCTGGATGTTTTACTTCATATATTATGAGACATTTCTCTCCTGTTCTATTGGTTTTCAGATCAACTTTCTTTCGTTGTCCAGAAGCCAAAGGCACAATCCTAGTCATATTAGCAACCCATCCTAGTTGTTGCCTCTTTAGATTCACCCTCTAAGTTCCTAACTGAGCTTTTCATCGCTGTCACATATGGAACCACTCGCATCAGGTGTGCTATTTAGAACAGTGTTTTCCAGTGAATTGCATTTTGGCAAATGTTTTACATTGCCTGCATCATTACAGTAGTTGTTCAATAATATACACTACATGACCAAAAGTATGTGGACACCGGCTCATTCCAAAATCATGGGTATTAATATGGAGTTGGTCCCCCCTTGCTGCTTTAACAGCCTCCACTCTTCTGGGAAGGCTTTCTACTAGATGTTGGAATATTGCTGCGGGGACTTGCTTCCATTCAGCCACGAGCATTAGTGAGGTCGGGCACTGATGTTGGCCGATTTCCTGGCTCGCAGTCGGCATTCCAATTCATCCCAAAGGTGTTTGAGGGGGTTGAGGTCAGGGCTATGTGCAGGCCAGTCAAGTTCTTCCAGAATGTCATTGTATGCTGTAGCGTTAAGATTTCCCTTCACTGTAACTAAGGGGCCTAGCCCAAACCATGAAAAACAGACCATTATTCCTCCTCCACCAAACTTTACAGTTGGCACTATGCATTGGGGCAGGTAGTGTTTTCCTGGCATACGCCAAACCCAGATTCGTCCGTCAGATGGCCAGATGGTGAAGCGCTATTAATCGCTCCAGAGAACGTGTTTCCACTGCTCCAGAGTCGAATGGCGGCGAGTTTACACCACTCCTGCCGACATTTGGCATTGCGCTTGGTGATCTTAGACTTGTGTGCGGCTGCTCGGGCCATGGAAACCCATTTCATGAAGCTCCCGACGAACAGTTCTTGTGCTGACATTACTTTGAGGCAGTTTGGAATGCGCTAGTGAGTGTTGCAACCGAGGACAGACGATGTTTAGGCGCTACGCACTTCAGCACTCGGCAGTCCCGTTCTGTGAGCTTGTATGGCCTACCACTTTGCGGCTGTTGTTGTCCCTAGACGTTTCCACTTCACAATAACAGCACTTACAGTTGACCGGGGCAGCTCTAGCAGGGCAGAAATTTTACGAACGGACTTGTTTGAAAGGTTTCATTACATTTACATTTACATTTTAGTCATTTAGCAGACGCTCTTATCCAGAGCGACTTACAGTTAGTGAATATATATATATTTTATTTTTATTTTTTATACTGGCCCCCTGTGGGAATCCAACCCACAACCCTGGCGTTGCAAACGCCATGCTCTATCAACTGAGCTACATCCCTGCCGGCCATTCCCTCCCCTACCCTGGACGACGCAGTGCCACGTTGAGTAAGGCCATTCTACTGCCATTGTTTGTTTATGGAGATTGCATAGCTGTGTGCTCGATTTTATACACCTGTCAGCGACGGGTGTGGCTAAAATAGACAAATCCACTAATTTGAAGGGGTGTCCACATACTTTTGTATATATAAATTGGTGTGAGGTGATTGGCTTGCTATTGTTGCATGTTTCAATGAAGCTCTTAATGATAAATGTCCGTTACTTGTATGCACGCATAGTATTTTCTGTTGGTCACGTCATTATACTATTTATCGTAGGGAAACATTTGTCATCAGTCATGTTGATCACTAGTGCTGAGTGATTAGTGCTTTTTGAGGTCAGTTTGATTATTTGATTTTGGTTATATATATATATATACAATTTTTTAACCTTAAATGCATTGTGGGTTGAATGCTGTAACAATACAGAATAAAACAATTAATAAAAGTCCCATGATCGTAGTGACTGCCCATTACTGCTTATCATTTATTAACCATCATTTATTCACATTACTTTACTAAAATGTTTTAGTTGTGTATATTACATTTGTTTTAGGCCTATTTGATGACTTTATTATTTCATTCCAAGTCATCATCTCATCTCTATAGAGCTGCTGCCTATGCTGTGACAAAATCACTGTTTTAGTAGTTCTTCAACGTAAATAAGGCATACTTTTATGACTGCTGAATACCAACTATCAGTCTTAGATCATGTGTTTTCAGGTAGATGCACCTCATGAAGCAACTGCTCTCGATCGTGCATTCTTCTGGCTCTTCTCTGTCTCAGACTGGACAAGCAGGCACGCAATAGTTTATGGTCATTGTAAATAATGACCACGTTTTCTGTGCTTAACTACGTAGAAAATTGGCCTGTTGGATCTGATTTATCTGTAGAGAAACTGCGCATTGCACTGAGAAAAAGATGGAACGAAATGGAATTCCAATAATGGAACAGATGTCGGACAATTTTAGTTGTTTTAAAAATGAAAAAATCACAATTTTGGTTAATCGCTCAGCACTATTGATCACACTAACAATAGTTGTTCTAGCCTACTTCAAGGTTCAAGGGTACTGTTTCGAGTAGCAAATAGTAGCTAGTATTTCACTTAGTGACGCAAACACTTATTGATAAGGTTGTTTCCCTGTGTTTCCCCTGAAAACTGTTCTGTCATGGCTGATTTCTCTCCCTCAGGTCTCCAGGCTTTGGCCTGACCTTGGTGGCTGAAACCCTGAACGGGACGTTCCTTAGTGCAGAGCAGGTGTCCACCCCCCAGGGGCAGGGAGACCCTGTGCTGCCTGAGGACCTGGGAAGAAACTGTGCCAAGCTACTGCTGGAGGAGATCTACAGGGTAGGTGACACACACACACCATCAATCGAAACCCAAGCCACAGGGTGTGGTGCACTTTTAAAAAAATTACATGTTTTAGTAATTTAGCTGACGCTCTTATCCTGAGCTACTTAGAGTAGTGAGTGCATACATTTTTTGTTCTGGTCCCCCCTGGGAATCGAACACACAACCCTGGCGTTGCAAGCGCCATGCTCTACCAATTGAGCCACACAGGACTCCTGTCATACGCGTTTTAAATCGAGTTGTAGCCCTCTCAAGTCAAGTTTAAGCTCTTATTGACTTTGAATGTACTATTTATTTAACCTTTATTTAACCATGAAGTCCCATGGAGGTCAGAATACCTTTTTCCCAAGGGAGACCTGGACTATCATGTATAAATGTCATTACAGCTGTTGAGTACTGTACAGTACGTACCAGACATTAAGTGTCCGGGCTTGTTAATTCACACATTCAAATCACCATATGTTTAAGATGAAATGTTTGCCATTCTCAGTGTGTGGTATTTACCATCAGTGGTGCACAGAGAGAGACAGCCATCTCTCAGATAGAGCTCAGACTCAGCTCATCATTACAGGGGAATGTGGGTAAACAGGCAGGACGCTGTTTGTTTACATGTTGTGATTGAGTCAAGCCCTCAACTGTGTTACAGACACTTATGTGTCTGACAGGCTCTAATGTGCTGCGGACATCTGGGCCCGTATTTACAAAGCGTCGCAGAGTAGCAGTGGTGATCTTGGATCAGGTTCCCCCTTTTATTCATTATGATTTAAAAGACAAAACTGATCCTAGATCAGCACTCCTTCAAGACGCTTTGTGAATATGAGCCCTGAGTTGTATGAGATTACCAGTGCCTGGTTAGTTGTCTCACACGAGTCAGAGACACAATGAAGCCCTGTGAAGTGTTAAAGTTAGACATTTTAAGACTGTAAGGATGTCAGTCTGTCTATAAAGTGACTGTACCAATCTAGACAACATTACACTGCAGTGCTTTATGTATAGAGAGAGAGAGTGTTTATAGTTGATAGTTTTGTGAAGAAATATGTTCCTCATCTTTAATCACCAGCGGAATGCTATAAGTGTTAATGTTGGTTAAGTGGTTGGCTAACGCCATGGATTATAAATGGGAAGTTAACGCTATGTCATTGTGAATGTTATCTATAAGTGGTAATATGATCACGATGTGATGCAAAATGCACAACCCCCCTCTCACTCACTTTATCAAAAAATATTAAATTAGCCGCTGAGTCTGTGACTTCACTTTACTCCTCCTGACTCCCACTGGTCACCCCCTTTCATAAGAGCATGTGAATCAAGTTAGCCAGGAGAATTTTATGATTTGTTTTGAATGCCGAATATTGTTGCTCCCTTATCTACTAAGCTAGGCCCGTGGAGAGAGACTGCTTCAATCTCCTCATTGGCCGAGAGGAGGGAAGGGGAAGACTAGGAGATAGAAGAGTCACTGGTGTCTCCTGTGAATGGTTGTTTGAAGCATATAAGGGTGCTGGAGTTTCTTTTTGAGGACGTGGTGCACTTCTGTGTTTGTTCAGTGGCTAATCAGTAGTACTGGCAGGCAGGCAGCTAGCGTAGTGGTCGTAGTAAACAAGATATGTTTTGGAGCACCTGGTGAGATGAGGGACAAGGGGAGCTGATGTAAGTAGTGGTCTTTTTATATTTTTAGAGTTATTAATGTCTTTAGAGTTGACTTCATATCAATACAATGGATTTGGCAAATTGTTAAATATGAAATGAAGTAAACTTGATCTTTTTGGTTTTGGATTATTTGATAGTATTCGTCCAGTAACTCAACCATATGTTACCTTAAAGTCAGAATGTCTTCTTGCGCTTTGGCGGTTTTCTATGCATAATGTCAGACTTTTAGAGTTCATATTCTGTTCAGAGGCAGGCTACGCCTACGCATCTTGGACAGGGGAATATAAACTCCCTTTGGCTTCTTCAAAATATTAGGCTAAATCATTCAAGGTATTTTCTGGACCTAGGTTACAATGGCTTTCAATGTGGGATAATTACATTTGAGCAGTTATTTTCCACCAGTTCATGAGATGCCAAATACTCTGGGGTCAGAAATTATTGACACAGTTGATGAAGATGAGCAAAAATGACTGTATAATAAAAAATACTGAGCTATATTGGATGCTCAAAAAATTTGGGAAATTATATTATTTTATGCTAATACAATTGCTCAGAGAAAGAGATTTTATTTAACAAGTAATTTTAAAAAATGCAGTGCTTTACACCGCTGCGCCACTCGGGAGGCCCCCCCTGAGCTTTTTTCAAACATATTTTATGAGTTGGGGAACACATTGGGGGAGAAGGGCCTTGGTCAGGGAGTTGACCAAGAACCCGATGGTCACTCTGACAGAGCTCCAGAGTTCTTCTGTGGAGATGGGAGAACCTTCCTGAAGGACAACCATCTCTGCAGCACTCCACCAATCAGGCCTTTATGGTAGAGTGGCCAGATGGAAGCCACTCCTCAGTAAAAGGCACATGACAGCCTGCTTGAAGTTTGCCAATAGGCACCTAAAGGACTCTCAGACCATGAGAAACAAGATTCTCTGGTCTGATGAAACCAAGATTGAACTCTTTGACCTGAATGCCAAGCGTCACGTCTGGAGGAAACCAGGCACCGCTCATCACCTGGCCAATACCATCCCTACAGTGAAGCATGGTGGTGGCAGCATCTGTATTCTTGTTGGGATGTTTTTCAGCGGCAGGGACTGGGAGACTAGTCAGGATCGAGGCAAAGATGAAGGAGCAAAGTACAGAGAGACCCTTGATGAAAACCTGCTCCAGAGCACTCAGGACCTCAGACTGGGGCGAAGGTTCACCTTCCAACAGGACAACGACCCTAAGCACACAGCCAAGACAACGCAGAGTGGCTTCGGGACAAGTCTCTGAATGTCCTTGAGTGGCCCAACCAGAGCCCGGACTTGAACCCGATCGAACATCTCTGGAGAGATCTGAAAATAGCTGTGCAGCGACGCTCCCCATTCAACCTGACAGAGCTTGAGAGGATCTGCAGAGAAGAATGGGAGAAACTCCCCAAATACAGGTGTACCAAGCTTGTAGCGTCGTACCCAAGAATACTCTAGGGTGTAATTGCTGCCAAAGGTACTTCAACAAAGTACTGAGTAAAGGGTCTGAATACTTATGTAAATGTGATATTTCCGTGTGTTTTATTTTTTATACATTTGCTAATATTTCTAAAAACCAGTTTTTGCTTTGTCATTATTGGGTATTGTGTGTAGATTGAGGGGAAACAACAATTTAATCAATTTTAGAGTAAGGCTGTAACGTAACAAAATGTGGAAAAAGTCAATGGGTCTGAATACTTTCCGAATGCACTGTATAGCCCAACGTTTGTATCACAGGTAAAGTTGCATAAATAACTCAAAATTAAGCATATAGGAGGACCTGTTTCTTTGTTAATCGCTCATCACAGAATAGCCGCATGTGCGCCCTTCATTGGGAATCGTTTGGAGAAAATATCCTTTCTATTTTATTCAGCTATGTTCAATTCTATTCTTAATGCTATAAAATAATAAAAAAGAATGCCACGGAATTCTGAGCAAACCTTTTCTTCTAAATGAACTAGTGTAGCCCACAGCCATATGGCATAGCCAGATCAGGGCCTAACATAAGGACAACTCAGAGTACGCTATTCTGTTCTTCTGAAATAGAAAACATTTTCTTCATATCATGTTTCTTTAGACCTGTCTCAAATAAATAATGGATTTATTGTGATGGTGTAGGCTATATTACATGGATTTATTAGACTTTTTTTTAATGTAGATGTTCCAAAGGTCTACATTAGTGACTTGTAGGCTATGTGTGGAAGCCAGGAGATGTTAAACCTGTTTATGTTAATTAACGGTTAATTACCGTGAGACCGGCAGTTATTTGCTTGACAATCACCGGCTGACAAAATTTAATGACCACCACAGCCCTACTAATGATGCAATGTTACTGTTTGAATTGTGAAAAATTTATGTTTTAAATGGTAGGTCTAGGTGCTTTATGATATGATTTAAACATTTAGCTTATGTCCTTATTCTGTTACATTTTCATCAGGAGTGAGGACATACCTTTCCTAAACAGATCATCGGGTCAGACAGTCGGACAATGAACAGTGAATTGTTTGGAATCCCAGTAGTATTGTGGAACACGGAATGACTGGAGACAATGTTGCCTTAGTTATTTCAAAAACTGATTAAGTGATTGAATCATATTCATGATGATGAGCAGATGTTGGGCATAAAGAAGGCCACTGACACTGCATGCTCACATGGCACGTGATGCACACAGCCAGACTCTCTGTCTACCAGGCTACCGTCTGCTATTCAGTAAATCTAAGATGTTGGGTTGGGCAACCATTTTATTTTAGGGTTGGGCAGCCCTGCTGTGCCCTGCGAGACTTTTACTGTGCAATGCCAGTCAAGTTCAAACCATCGTCTGTCACATCACGATGTCGTCACCATCGACGATGGCTGTCAATTATCATCGATAGACGGAGAAGATGGCTGCCGTTTTACAGCCCTCTAACCAATTGTACTATTATGTGTGTTTTTCCGCGTTAACTCTATCCTCCTGATTCCTGCTTTTAAGCAAAAACTGAAGCAGGAAGCACCAGTGATTCGGTTAATAAAAAAGTGGTCAGATGACGCAGATGCTAAGCTACAGGACTGTTTTGCTAGCACAGACTGGAACATGTTCCGGGATTCTTCAGACAGCATTGAGGAGTACACCACATCAGTCACTGGCTTCATCAATAAGTGCATCGATGATGTCGTCCCCACAGTGACCGTACGTACATACCCCAACCAGAAGCCATGGATTACAGGAAACATCCGCACTGAGCTAAAGGGTAGAGCTGCCGCTTTCAAGGAACGGGACTCTAACCCGGACACTTATAAGAAATCCCGCTATGACCTCCGACGAACCATCAAAGAGTCAATACAGGTCTAAGATTGAATCATACTACACTGGCTCTGACGCTCGTCGGATGTGGCAGGGCTTGAAAACTATTACAGACTACAAAGGGAAGCACAGCCGCGAGCTGCCCAGTGACACAAGCCTACCAGACGAGCTAAACCACTTCTATGCTCGCTTCGAGGCAAGCAACACTGAAGCATGCATGAGAGCACCAGCTGTTCCGGATGACTATGTGATCACGCTCTCCGTAGCCGATGTGAGTAAGACTTTTAAGCAGGTCAACATTCACAAGGCCGCAGGGCCAGACGGATTACCAGGACGTGTACTCCGAGCATGTGCTGACCAACTGGCAAGTGTCTTCACTGACATTTTCAACATGTCCCTGACTGAGTCTGTAATACCAACATGTTTCAAGCAGACCACCATAGTCCCCGTGCCCAAGAACTCTAAGATAACCTGCCTAAATGACTACCGACCCGTAGCACTGACGTCTGTAGCCATGAAGTGCTTTGAAAGACTGGTCATGGCTCACATCAACAGCATAATCCCAGAAACCCTAGACCCACTCCAATTTGCATACCGCCCCAACAGATCCACAGATGATGCAATCTCTATCGCACTCCACACTGCCCTTTCCCACCTGGACAAGAGGAACACCTACGTGAGAATGCTATTCATTGACTACAGCTCAGCATTCAACACCATAGTGCCCTCTAAGCTCATCACTAAGCTAAGGATCCTGGGACTAAACACCTCCCTCTGCAACTGGATCCTGGACTTCCTGACGGGCCGCCCCCAGGTGGTAAGGGTAGGTAGCAACACATCTGCCACACTGATCCTCAACACGGGGGCCCCTCAGGGGTGCGTGCTCAGTCCCCTCCTGTACTCTCTGTTCACCCATGACTGCATGGCCCGGCACGACTCCAACACCATCATTAAGTTTGCCGACGACACAACAGTGGTAGGCCTGATCACCGACAACGATGAGACAGCCTATAGGGAGGAGGTCAGAGATCTGGCCGTGTGGTGCCAGGACAACAACCTCTCCCTCAACGTGACCAAGACAAAGGAGATGATTGTGGACTACAGGAAAAAAAGAGGACTGAGCACGCCCCCATTCTCATCGACGGGGCTGTAGTGGAACAGGTTGAGAGCTTCAAGTTCCTTGGTGTCCACATCACCAACGAACTATCATGGTCCAAACACACCAAGACAGTCGTGAAGAGGGCACGACAAAGCCTATTCCCCCTCAGGAGACTAAAAAGATTTGGCATGGGTCCTCAGATCCTCAAAAAATTCTACAGCTGCACCATCGAGAGCATCCTGACTGGTTGCATCACCGCCTGGTATGGCAACTGCTTGGCCTCTGACCGCAAGGCACTACAGAGGATAGTGCGTACGGCCCAGTACATCACTGGGGCAAAGCTTCCTGCCATCCAGGACCTCTATACCAGGCGGTGTCAGAGGAAGGCCCTCAAAATTGTCAAAGACTCCAGCCACCCTAGTCATAGACTGTTCTCTCTGCTACCGCACGGCAAGCGGTACCGGAGTGCCAAGTCTAGGTCCAAAAGACTTCTCAACAGCTTCTACCCCCCAAGCCATAAGACTCCTGAACAGCTAATCATGGTTACCCGGACTATTTGCACTGCCCCCCCACCCCATCCTTTTTACGCTGCTGCTACTCTGTTAAGTATTTATGCATAGTCACTTTAACTCTACCCACATGTACATATTACCTCAACTACCTCAACTAGCCGGTGCCCCCGCACATTGACTCTGCAACGGTACCCCCCTGTGTATATATAGCCTCCCTACTGTCACTTTATTTTACTTCTGCTCTTTTTTTCTCAACACTTTTTTTTTGTTGTTGTTTTATTCTTACTTTTTTTGTTTAAAATAAATGCACTGTTGGTTAAGGGCTGTAAGTAAGCATTTCACTGTAATGTCTGCACCTGTTGTATTCGGCGCATGTGACCAATAAAATTTGATTTGATTTGATTTGAAATGTCATATGTCAAAGCTACAAGGGAATTGACAGACATGATTGGACTGTAACCCTGTCTGTCTGGAAAGTCTTTGAGTACACAAACACTTCAATATTAGAGTTGCTGTACTTGTTGTCACTACCATTAGTGGAGCAGGTTGAGAGCATAAAGTTCCTTGGTGTCCACATCACCAACAAACTAACATGGTCCAAGCACACCAACATAGTCGTGAAGAGGGCACAACAAAACCTATTCCCCCTAAGGAGACTGAAAAGATTTGGCATGGGTCCTCAGATCATCAAAAGGTTCTACAGCTGCACCATCGAGAGCATCCTGACTGGTTGCATCACTGCCTGGTATGGCAACTGCAAGGCACTCCAGAGGGTAGTGCGTACGGCCCAGTACATCACTGGGGCCAAGCTTCCTGCCATCCAGGACCTCTATACCAGGCGGTGTCAGAGGAAGGCCTTAAAAATTGTCAAAGACTCCAGCCACCCTAGTCATAGACTGTTCTCTCTGCTACCGCATGGCAAGCAGTACCAGAGCGCCAAGTCTAGGTCCAAGAGGTTTCTAAACAGCTTCTCCCCCAAGCCATAAGACTCCTGAACATATAATCAAATGGCTACCCAGACTTTGCATTGCCCCCCCCCCCCCCCTTTAAGCTGCTGCTACTCTGTTTATTAGCTATGCATAGTCACTTTAATAACTCAACCTACATGTACATATTACCTCAACTAACCGGTGCCCCCGTACATTGACTCGGTACCGGTACCCCCTGTATATGGCCTCGCTATTGTTATTTTACTGCTGCCCTTTAATTATTTGTTACTTTTATTTTGTATAGTTTTTTTGGGGGGGATATTCTTTTTTTAAACGGCATTGTTGGTTAAGGGCTTGTAAGTAAGCATTTAACTGTAAGGTTAACCTGTTGTATTCGGCGCATGTGACAAATAACATTTGATTTGATTGTTCATATTCCTAGTTGGGTTATGTCGAATTTTAGTTTTGTATAACAGAATGATCAGTCTAATCTGCTTTTTGTTATGTTCTAAGTGAGGCCATGATGCCACATGCAGTCTTCTTTTCTTCGAGGGGATTGAGCTTTATGTGACCTCTCCCCTTGTGACGACGTTGTGTTATGTTGATGTTGTTTCTGACGCACTGACACCCCCCACTCTGCTCACTCTCTTTCAGGGCGGCTGTATCGACTCAGCCAATCAAAGCCTGGCTCTCGTGTACATGACCTTGGGTCAACAAGATGTGTCTAAAGCGCTGCTCGGCCACCTCTCTCCATACACGTAAGTTATTTATTATTTATGTATTTTCTTTTTTACAGTACGCTGCTTGGCAGGACCTGCAATCCAAAGTTCCCATAGCAGGTCAAACAAACTGCGAGTAACCTGACAGTGGAACGCAAACAAGTTGTCATTTCCGATAAACCTTTGGCCACATTTTTGTTGAATCTTTGGTTTGTCGATTTGTGCAAAACATTTAGGGTGAATACTTCTGATTCTTCTACGAACTTCAAAAGAATGTTTTATTACTACATTTGTTTTAATGTTGTATTTAATTATTTAATGAGAACATTTTGAGAAATTAAATACAATCCATTAATATCCTACAGATGCGGTAAAAATGTCGGCACCCTTGCACTTTAGAATGGAGCGACATTTTCTGATTTCTCTTTTCAAAACTGGTTGAATGGCTATTTTTTACCCTGTAGACACCTGCAACTTACCACAGGTGAGAGAAATTACACAGTAAACAAGAATTTGCCTCCAACCAAATTAATTAAAATGTTTAATGATTTAGTCCAGGACATTTTTACTTTAAAGTGAAAATACTAAATGTTTGTTAGGATTTCTTAAAAATATAAAACAAAAACATGTGAACTTTTTTAAACATTTCAATATATTTTAGAAGAAATAGTGAATCGTGCAAGGGTGCAATATATTTGACCATATCTGTAATAGAGAAAGTTAAGACTAAGCCATAAAGGTAAATAACTGGTATCGTTCTGTCTAACATTTGTGTGTTTCTACATACAGTTGAAGTCGGAAAGTTTACATACACCTTAGCCAAATACATTTAAACTCAGTTTTTCACAATTCCTGACATTTAATCCTAGTAAACATTCCCTGTCTTAGGTCAGTTAGGATCACCACTTTATTTTAAGAATGTGAAATGTCAGAATAATAGTAGAGAGAATGATTTATTTCAGCTTTTATTTCTTTCATCACATTCCCAGTGGGTCAGAAGTTTACATACACTCAATTAGTATTTGGTAGCATTGCCTTTAAATTGTTTAACTTGGGACTAACGTTTCAGGTAGCCTTCCACAAGCTTCCCACAGTAAGTTGGGTGAATTTTGGCCCATTCCTCCTAACAGAGCTGGTGTAACTGAGTCAGGTTTGTAGGCCTCCTTGCTCTTTTCGGTTCTGCCCACACATTTTCTATAGGATTGAGGTCAGGGCTTTTTGATGGCCACTCCAATACATTGACTTTATTGTCCTTAAGCCATTTTGCCACAACTTTGGAAGTATGCTTGGGGTCATTGTCCATTTGGAAGACCCATTTTTGACCAAGCTTTAACTTCCTGACTGATGTCTTGAGATGTTGCTTCAATATATCCACATAATTTTCCTTCCTCATGATGCCATCTATTTTGTGAAGTGCACCAGTCCCTCCTGCAGCAAAGCACCCCCACAGCATGATGCTTCACGGTTGGGATGGTGTTCTTCGGCTTGCAAGCATTCCCCTTCCTCCTCCAAACATAACAATGGTCATTATGGCCAAACAGTTCTATTTTTCAGACCAGAGGACATTTCTCCAAAAGTACGATCTTTGTCCCCATGTGCAGTTGCAAACCATAGTCTGGCTTTTTTATGGCGGTTTTGGAGCAGTGGCTTCTTCCTTGCTGAGCGGCCTTTCAGGTTATGTCGATATAGGACTCATTTTACTGTGGATATAGATACTTCTGTACCTGTTTCCTCCAGCATCTTCACAAGGTCCTTTGCTGTTGTTCTGGAATTGATTTGCACTTTTCGCACCAAAGTACGTTCATCTCTAGGAGACAGAACACATCTCCTTTCCTGAGCGGTATGACGGCTGCGTGGTCCCATGGTGTTTATACTTGAATACTATTGTTTGTACAGATGAACGTGGTACCTTCAGGCGTTTGGAAATTGCTCCCAAGGATGAACCATACTTGTGGAGGTCTACAATTTTTTTTCTGAGGTCTTGGCTGATTTCTTTTCATTTTCGCATGATGTCAAGCAAAGAGGCACAGGTACACCTCCAATTGACTCAAATGATGTCAATTAGCCTATCAGAAGCTTCTAAAGCCATGACATCATTTTCTGGAATTTTCCAAGCTCTTTAAAGGCACAGTCAACTTAATGTATGTAAACTTCTGACCACTGGAATTGTGATACAGTGAATTATAAGTGAAATAATCTGTTGGAAAAATGACTTGTGTCATGCACAAAGTAGATGTCCTAACCGAATTGCCCAAACTATAGTTTGTTAACAAGAAATTTGTGGAGTGGTTGAAAAACGAGTTTTAATGACTCCAACCTAAGTGTATGTAAACTTCCGACTTCAACTGTATACTGTAAGTTGGTGTGTGGTGACATTTGCACAAGTCGGTGTGTGTTTCTCCATGTGTTTTGACATTTTATCCCATGATAGCATGGCAGTGATCATGTGGCTCAGTCGGGAACAGCGGTTTCATCACTCCTCTTAGCGCTCGAAAACCCTTCTCCGTACGTAGGGTTTTTATCGGTTACATTCGCCCACGGTTGGCTCCATGTGAACTACATTTCCGACAATGTTTTACCGTTTAGAAATGTCAATCCTCGCTTTCAAACCGGTTTTTCTGAAACATATGCCCCTTACCTTTCATATCAGTGAGAAATAATCTTACAAATAAAAAATATACACTTTCTGTCACAGTTTTGCACAGATCCACAAGTTGTGTGTGCCTTCAGTTGACGAAATACACTTCCTCCCCAGTCACGCTTACACACAGGTGTTCAAAGCAAGCTAGATAGCTAATCAACAATTCTTTCCATGGCTAAAATGAGAAACGTGAAGCAGACCAAATTCTTTGGTCCTTTAATAACCTGCTGTATGTAAAATACTGTGTGCTATAGCTTGGAAAATAATGACAGCATAATGATGTTTGTTTCCAACATTAGGGCTGTTTTCCTAAAGAAGTTAAATCCGCTTCGTGTTTTGTTTCCTTGCCACGATACTAACGAGTATCGCAATATTGGTATCGTCCTGGCCCTAACCCTAACCCTATAAAGGTGTGTAGTAATTTAACCTTTTTTTTTTTCAAAATGTTTCTCGCTGATATGAAAGTTTCCAAAACCGTACCGCAAGCGATGGATTTTAACATTCAGAACGAGCGTCGGGGATCTTTAAAAAAACTCCCACGAACAGAAGATGTTATTGTCAATATGAATGGGTTCCAGTCCTCTCAGAGTCAGACTATGAACTGTCCATTTTCAGTTATCATGGTACCGGTGCTGTGTCCCTGTCAAGTACAGTACTATGATAACTGAAGATTGGCAGTGCCATCTCAATGGTTCTCTGAGCACCTTCCGAGGCAGTTAGCCAGGACCACAGCTCTCTGGGCTCTCTCTCATTTTTTCTTCTTCTTGCTATTAACAGTTTTTTATTGGTTTCTGTGAGTGTGGATCGTCCATTTTCAGATTCTGAGTTCTCAGTATTGATGTTCTACAGTATGATTGGACGGTCCATCCATTTCCTGATTGTGTGTGTATATGTTGTTGTGTATAGGTGATCATAAAGACCTTTGAGCTGCTGTTTGGTGTTTTGAAGGCATCCCAAAGCACACACTGTCCTCGGTCAGTGCTTGTCCCCGGTCATCTACTCTGACATCACACAGGGTCAGGGGTAGGGTTGCAAAATTTCGGGAATGTTTTGTTCCGGAATTCCAGAAATCCTGATTGGAGGATTCCAGATTTCCTGCTTATTCCCTCCTGATTTCGGGAATCCTCCAACAGGGATTTCGGGAAATCCAGGGAATTTATTGAAAGTTCTTGGAATTCTGCAACCCTAGTCAGGGGTCAGTGCTTCTCAGTATTCCACATTGTTTGATGTCCCCTCTGGCCTTTAGAGCCTTTTTCTAGGATGCTCTGGTGTTTTGTATTTTACTCTGTTGTAAAATAACGAATAATCTCCATGAGGTTAGCCTGTCACGTGTTGGACTGCTGTATTTGAGTAGCCAACCCACCCACCTGAACTCTCGCTCTCCTCTCAGGATTGAGTTCCTCAGACACATGAGAGACTTCTTCCAGATGATGTTCAAGATCGAGACTCAGAAACCATCGGAGGACGAGAGGAAAGGAGGAGACAAAGTACTGATGACCTGTGTTGGAGCCGGCTATACCAACATCAGCAAATCAATCAAATAAAGACTACAGTATTTTTTCTACCTGGGTCGTTCTTTAATTGCGGTGGCATTTGGGAATGGCAGTTTGGATAAATTATTTTTTCTAGATTTTTATTTAAATATATTTGGGCACATCTTCCCATTCTAAATCAACTAATATGTAATCTTAATGACTTTAAATAATTTGTGCCATTAGGATAACATTGTGCCACCAGTAGGAGTAGTAACACCAATGATGGTAACACCAATAAGACATTTTATGTTATTGAGGATTTTTGTAAATGGAGGTCACGTGCTCAAATCTAAGGTCATTATTAACCCTTTTAAAATGTATTTACTGAAGTGATATGATTAATAATTTTGCTCACAATGTTATTTCCCTTCATTTAAATTGAGTAACACCAAGTGACACTTTTTGGATTTAAACACACCAAATTATCAATGGAATCCTCAAATTTATGACGTACTAAAAGGATTTCTGTAATATAGACCCCGCCGATAAATTTGCCACTGGTGAGAATGCTCAAGGAACTTGTATATCTTTGAATTTCAAGGCGGTAACCCCAATTACATACAACTGAGGGACAGACATTATACAATAAAAAATCATAGGTATTTTAATAGCCTTTGTTTTTATTGATCTATACAATATATTAAATACATTTGTTCACTTTCTAGCATTCAAAATAAGAGATATCTCTAAATCCCCAAAACATGTCACTACAACTTTACACATCACTACTGGTACAAGCCAATTTGCATACTCTTAAGTAGATTTAAACAATGTATAAACTAAGTTTTGCAGTATAAAGGACTTGCAGTATGTTAATCATTGATAAACAGTTCAGTATAAACAAAAACATGTATGATGTGTAACTATTTGTAATTTAAGTGTTTTTGTATAGTTGTAAAGGCAAGGGATCTAATTAAAATAAGTTTCTCATTGAAAGATGGGAATCTGTAGGATTTTCTCTTGAGAATGAATTTTGACCACATTTCCACTACATTCGTAAATTATCAGTATTCATTCTTATATAGCTGAGCATCTCAAAGATAACTATTGTCTTTCTTTAAATCTACACCACATATACCATGTAGAACAAACATGCATCATTGACAAATCATTTAAATTTGATCAGATAGGTGTGTTGTAACTGTTGCCAAATAATTACATTAACATACACGGTGTACAAAACATTAAGAACACCTTAATTTTTAGTTGCACCCCCCCCCCCCCCCCCCGAACAGCCTCAATTTGTCGGGGCACGCACTCTATAAGGTGTCAAGCGTTCCACAGGGATGCTGGCCCATGTTGACTCCAATGCTTCCCACAGTTGTGTCAAGTTGGCTGGATGTCCTTTGGGTGGTGGACCATTCTTGATACACATGGGAAACTGTTGAGTGTGAAAAACCCAGCAGTGTTGCAGTTCTTGACACAAACCGGTGCGCCTGGCACCTACTACCATACCCCGTTTAAAGGCACTTTAATTATTTTGTCTTGCCCATTCGCCCTCTGAATGGCATACATGCTCAATCCATGTCTCAATTGTATCAAGGCAAGTGAAATCAATAAGATATCATAGCTTTCTATGTCATGGAAAGAGCAGGTGTTCATAATGTTTTGTACACTTAGTTGCTAAGAAAGTAGGGTGACTCCCCTAGTGGGTCTCGACCCCAGGCCACCAGCACCAATGACAAACGCCCTAAACACTGTTCCAATAAGGGATATCCCTAGGGCATGTATTTATTGGGCCAGTGTAGTTAGGGCCTGTCCAGAAGCAAATCCTAACCCCTTATCCCTAGACACTTGTGTAGATTAAACAACTTGATAGGTGTAAGCAATAGGGTGAATGCACTTTGAAGAATCTGTCAGCTCTGTTAAAAGTACACTCAAGAAAAAACGTTTTTATTCATCATAGTGATTCAGGTGTATCATTAAAACAGGTTAACATGCCCCACCAACATTAGACAACTATACAGAAAGCCCTAAAATTGCAGAAACAAGTAAATAAAATCAATGATGAGAACAGTCAGATTAACTGATACCTGACATGGATATGGTGGCGTGTTGGGAAGATCGGAGTACTGTGATCCAACAGGTTATGAGTTCAAATCCCAGGTGAGGATAGGAGCGAAAATAATTGTATTTGTCAAACGGCAGTCAAGCATCGATCATCATGTCACCAGAATAAGACCCTCTATTTATTGGAAAGGAGCATCAAGCTCATCACTGCACTTTCACCTCCCTGTGAAGTTCATGACTTACACTGAACAGAAATATAAACACAACATGTAAAGTGTTGGTCCCATGTTTCATGAGCTGAAATAAAAGATAACAGAATTTCCATATGCACAAAACCTTATTTCTCTCACATTTTGTGCACAAATTTGTTACCATCCCTGTTAGTGAGCATTTCTCCTTTGCCAAGATTATCCATCGACCTGACAGGTGTGGCGTATCAAGAAGGTGATTAAACAGCATAATCGTTACACAGGTGCACCTTGTGCTAGGGACAATAAAAGGCCTATCTAAAATGTGCAGTTTTGTCACACAACACAATGCCACATCTGCTGCCATCACCTCATGCTTCAGCATGATAATGCAAGGCCCCATGTCGCAAGGATCTGTACACAATTCCTGGAAGCTGAACATTTCCCAGTTATTCCATGGCCTGCATACTCACCAGACATGTCACCCACTGAACATGTTTGGGATGCTCTGGATCGACGTATACGACAGCGTGTTCCAGTACCTGCCAATATCCAGCAACTTCACACAGCCATTGAAGAGGAGTGGGACAACATTCCACAGGCCACAATCAACAGCCTGATCAACTCTATGCAAAGGAGATGTGTCGCGCTGCATGAGGCAAATGGTGGTCACACCAGATACTGACTGGTTTTCTGATCCACGCCCCTACTTTTTTTTTTTAAGGTATCTGTGACCCACAGATGCATGTGTATTCCCAGTCATGTGAAATCCATATATTAGGGCCTAATTCATTTATTTCCATTGACTGATTTTTCTTGTATGAACTGTAAGTTAGTAAAATCTTAGAAATTGTTGCATGTTGCATTTTCGTTCAGTATATTTCATCTGTAGTCTAATAAACTTAGTCGTAGTGGGAGGACCACATACCATATCATCGTGTGACTCCCAAGTTTACTTCGATATGATGTCAAACCAACAAATTATCTGTAGGCATTTACAAAGTTGTACAGAAACTAGCTGTTTCCATCACAGGTGTCGTGATTTTATTTTTTATATGGCTTATGACATGTTCATATGCTATCTGGGGGGCCTGACCTCCGGGGGGACCCCAACTCGTGAGTGCTACGCCAGTGGTTAGGGCGTTAGTCATTGAGGGCCTTCACAATCTTAGCAATACAGTATATGTTAATGTAATTATTGCTGTTTTGAATTGCATTTATCAGGCATTTAGATTGTTTATATGGAATTTTCGTTAGAACATCTGGAAATATTATTTATACGTCTTTGTTTATTACCATAATAAGTATAGATTTCTCCTCTTTTACGCATTTCTGTAACTTTGGCTACCAGCTTTGTGCCTTTGTGCATGACCTCCAGATGCTTTTTCAGGTTTGATGTGGTGTTTCCGGAAGAAGAGATCAATGATGCCTTTGCAGAGTTAACATTTGACAAACATTTTCTTTCTCCTCGATTAACTTAAAATAATGGGAGCATTTTCACAAGGAAAAGGTCAAGCGGGGTAACACAGCTGCGTTCTTTCTTAGATTTGTGGCTTTACGCCTACAGCTTGAATTCCGTAAGCATGAGACAAGGCGTTAAAATATATATATAACACGCCAGTAGAGATATGCTTATGAAAATAACATATATTGTAATAATATTACAATATTTGACGACAATACCTGATTATATTACGCCATTACTCATAAAAGTAATATATTACACCCAACACTGGTCCCAAGTGATTCTGTTGCAATTTGTCTATTTGTATAGTTTTGGTATAACTGGCATCATCATTGCTTAAAAGAGCGACTTACAGTTAGTGAGTGCATACATTATTTTTTGTATTTTTCATACTGGCCCCCCGTGGGAATCAAACCCACAACCCTGGCGTTGCAAACGCCATGCTCTACCAACTGAGCTACATCCCTGCCGGCCATTCCCTCCCCTACCCTGGACGACGCTAGGCCAATTGTGCGCCGCCCCATGGGTCTCCCGGTCGCGGCCGGCTATGACAGAGCCTGTATTCGAACCAGGATCTCTAGTGGCACAGCTAGCACTGCGATGCAGTGCCTTAGACCACTGCGCCACACTTCCTTATCACTTCTTCTGACCTGACCTCGGCCCACATTCCTCACTCCTCCCTAATCCACAGCTATCCAACCTTATCAGTGACTGAAACCAGACTGTTACCCTCTCCATAGGATCCATGAGATTTAACAATAACATTATACATGTAACGTAGTTCTAGTATAGGAACATGAATAAGTATATATGTCAAGCTAGAATCCAACAGTCCCTCCTTTTTGAACATACTGTTCAACATTACATAAACTTTGAAATTACTTATAAATGAACAAAAAATAGAACATGATTAACATTCTCAGTTGATTTGTATGTTTACACCTCCAAGACTTATGGTCTCTGATCTATAATCACACTATTCCCCCCCTCTCGTTGTACAACTGATAAGGACATTTCAGCTGGAGCTTTTGACTTTCTCCATTTCAGCTTCCGGGTTCCTAAGAGAGTGTAGCACAAGACTTGAAAAGCAAAAGGAAACACAAAACGTAAGTATTAATAATGCGCTAAGCTATGCATATTTAGATATACAAAAAAAATCTGAAGTTTGATAACATGACGATTCCCACTCTCTCTTAGCCTGACTCTATACCTTCGGGATACTGTTCTGCTGGGGTCCACAAAAAGGAAGGCCCTAAAAAACCTCCTCATGCTTTCACCCAGTCTTCCCCGTTAGACCACAGGTTACAAAAGGCCATATCATCACGTTGCCCCCCATCTCCTTCTTCCTCCATGGCCACCCGATATACACGTGCGGTGGCCTTAATCAACTACCTCATCTTGAGGCAAATCAGCACTGTACACCCGTTTCAACATCAATGCCTTCAGAAGGTGATATCCCAGCAATGCTAACAAGATAAC